ATCTAACCACATTAAAGTTCCAGGATATACGCTTTCGTTTCGACCACAGATGTATTTTATTATACAAAATACAAAAAAAATCTATATTTTCAAGTTTACAATACAATCTTAACACTTCAAGTCTTTGCTTAGAAAAACATGACAGCCATCCTATTACAAGTACTTAACTTTTATATGAAAAATCGATCATTTACTTGTATACATAAGAATATAATAGAGTGTGCCTATCAACGAACCGGTGTTATTTTCTGGTTCTTAATTGTGAAGACTGTGTAACGGTTTATTTCTTACTCTGTGATATTTTTTTCCGGTGGAGAATTTGTCACAGTTAATTTTTTCCAGACATGGTATTTCACGGATAGATTTTTTCCAGAGGAGTGAAATTATATCCATCTTATATGGATAGTATTTAACAGTAAATCTTGTCCGTTCCATATTTTACAGAAGCTTGTGAAATACAATCCCATTGTCTACTATGTAAGGTACTTGCAATCTATAATGTTAATGTGTCACCAAGGTAGAACATATTTGCATAATTTATCAATTAAAGGGAGGCAATTATGAGAAATTTTCATTTTATAGGTATTATAATTCCGGAATCAATTTCATAGTGAAATTTTTCCCTAATTCTTAATTTTTTATATTAATTAATATTAAAATATTAAGACAGAAAAATATTTCACAGGTAAATACTATCCAGCTGTTGAAATTGTTTTTGTTTTTTTATATTGATGTGTTATGATTCATCTGATTTTGTCACATTTTCACCAACTACATTACAAATTAAACTGCACTTTTAATAAATGTACACATTAATTAAATTCAAAATATATTTGTACTGAGATCTGAAAACAACTCACTTTTACCTGTATTTCACTTATTTTCTTATTGACCGTGATATTATTTCACAATTAAGAGCTGTGAAATTACTTCTGGTTTTGTTTCATATGTTTCGTGATAATTGTTTTTTTAAAAGAATGATATTTACTTAAAAATTATTTCAGGATATCATTTTGAATTATAATCTGTGAAATTATTTCCCATTATAATACATTTTTTTGGTTTTTTATTCACTAATTTAGCTTATATTCAAATACACTATTATAAGATCTTATTAGTCCATAGTATTTGCAAAGATTTACTTATTTTTGTTAACAATTCCATATTTTAACCCCCCGGAAAAATCATCCGGATAGAATTTTGCTTTACAACTGTGTGTGTAAAACCTGATCTTTGCGAAGGAATCACTTACAAATCAAAACACAATGTAATGAATAATCAAACAAAGAGATAAAAAAAAAGGCTGGTTTGTTTAGCATATAAAAATAACATAAAGACTCAGTCCTTTAACTCAAAAATAGAAGATATCAACGGGCAATTGAAAATCATAATTCAAATTAAATTTAAACCATCAAAACTCCTTGGCTAAAAGTTAAAAATCACAAAAACGAAAACAACAAAAACAAAATATTACACAGAAAACAAAACAGTTGGGTAACACAAACCCCACAAAAACTGGTGTTGAACTCCCGCTAAAAACAATATAAAAAAACGAAAACAGGTTTCATGATCCGTGATTTAGAATACTCATACAAAATATTCCGATATTATTTTTTTTTATTCATCATGCTCATAGACACATCTTCCTAATTTTAGTATGAATATTTCAATTTGAGCAAATAAACTTTCAAAAGGCAGTTACAGTAGTGTTTGATGTTTAATGGGCCATTTGATGTGGAATTAAGTAAATTTTAATTCAAAGATTAATAATTCATGATATTAAATTTAAATCAACAAGAATAAAATTCCTTACTGAAATAGTATATGATAACATTCTTATTTATGATTACAACTAATAATGTTCCTACCATTTCATCATACTGTTGGGTTATATAATATAAACAGTAATAATATATTACATGTATTATGTGATGGAAATAACACTTGGAATTTCCAAAAAAATAAGAAACTTTTACATAACCATATTAATACTTTATTTTCAAAAGCAATACAGCTTATAGATATAAGAAGATTTGGTATGTGCCAATGAGACAACTCTCCATCCAAGTCACAATATATAGAAGTAAACCATTATAGGTCAAAGTACGGTATAGGCATATAACAAAATATACTTAAAAATTCAATACACTATCTATTACAGTATCTTTGATTATTAATATATATCTAATAATATCGATATACTGTTTAATAGCAATAACAGACCATGATACACGACATAATGAAAAACAAATATTTCGGTAGCACACAAATATTTTCCTAAATCGTTATGTTCCTTTTCATTTTGTACTGATAATGGCTGAACTAGTTTTAAGGATAAAGGATTTCTCTAATAGTATTTTATATCTTTCTGTTTTCGTAGATGTTAGGTCTTCTTTCTTTCTATGTTTGTTTAAAAAATGCACCTTTGAAATATCTCCTTTCATTATGTGTCAAACAACGACAATAAAGTTTCATAGTTATTATAATCATTCTTAATTAATATCATTTATCGGTCGTCCACTGTCTGTATCACTCTATTCAGCTCTTAATAAAATTGCATATCACGGCTTTGTGACGTCAAATACGTTGACCAGGCCTTAATAACTTCGACCCGGACATATCACCGACGTCATAATGAATGAACCGACGTTGATAAGTTTGACCCGAACTTATCAACGTCATTTTCCGGTTTGCTGGTAAAACAAAGAAAACACTTCTTTCTATCATGCCAAATACGCAAATACAACCCGATAAATCGATTATATGGTTGTCTGCATATTGATATTGTAAAATATCAATATGCAGACAACCTGATAATCGGTACCTATTTGTATGTGTATTTTACATGTGATTATTACAGTTTGCACATTTGTTTGTTCAATTAATGTAAGGATGTGTGCACAATGTCAATAAAAAGTAAAATAAAAAAAACGAACTCCAAGGAAAACTCAAAATGCAAAAGTCCCTTATCAAATGGCAAAGTAAAAAGAGAAAAACACATCAAACAATTGGAAAACAACAGTTTCTGTAATTTTCCTGACTTGGTACAAACATTTCTTTATCTAAACAATGGTGCATTTAACCTGGTTTTATAGCTAGCTAAACCTCTCACTTGTATGGCAATCGCTTAGAATTCCATTATATTGACATATAATGTGTGAGCAGAACAAACAAACATAATAGCAGTCAACATTGTGTTATAATCTTAATCTTTATAAAACAAACAACTTTGTCAACAAAGAAAAACAAAATGGCATATACACACTCTATAGAAAAAGCACATATTAAGCAAAACTGAAAGACAAGAATACAAAAAAATGACCATAGCACAATAGAACAACGGCGGGATGTATAAATACCGAGCCACGCCAAAAGAATATTACCAAAAATGGATTGAACAGTAAAGGTTAAAAGTATACAAAGACAAATAAAAAAAAACACTATAACACGTAATCAAGATGATAAACAACGTCAGTACCTAGAATCTATTATACTTCCAGACCATCATGTATTATTTGTGAAGTTGATAAGGAATATTTATCAACAAGGTTTTGTTATCTTACGAGGAACATTTTTAGAAAAAGGACGAGACGTGCTTTAACATAACCTTGGTTCATCAACTATCTGCTCAGACACTGGTGACGTTTTATAAAGTCTGAGAAGCAGCTTCAAGCGCTTGAATAACGAATTAGTTTGGAAATGTACATCTCATATGCAGATGAAGTTGATATATTGCTGCCAAGTTGGGGAAAATTTATAATTTCAAAATTAAAATCGTCTCGTGTGTCGTAGATTCTGGAATTGAGATGACCACTTATGTCAAATTCGAGGTTTAAGTCTAATAATGAGTCAGAGGAAGCCGTGTCTGTTGTTTCTGTAATTTCTGGAGGATATATTGATGGAACTCAATCAGAAAAAAAGTTTTGATTGTTAATTGAAACAACATAATCAATATCTGAATGTGAAATTAAATGACATGGCTTCTTTGATCTTCTTGTTTTTGACAAGTGCGAAAACTATCCATCAATGACCAAATGAGGTAGATGTTAGCATGTAAAGGTCACCGTACGTCCTTCATCATTGAGCCAAACCCAAACCGCAAAGCAAATTTTAAAAGGAACGAATTCATTTGAGAAAAAAAAAAAAGGTCAGATTTATGTACAAAACAAGAAATGAAAAAAAAACATATGATTTACAGCAACAAACGACAACCCCTGACAACATGCTCCTAATTTAAGACAGTCACTACAACATGTGGCGGTGTTAAACATCTTTGCATGTGCCCAACCTTTTCATTACTTTTGAGGAGATCTTTCAGTTTATTGGATTTATCTTAATATTAAGTCTTGGTGATTGTACACACATACTTTATTTTAATTTTGTTTCTACAATGCAAACTTATATACTGTATAGGATACAATTAAGTATGAGTCAGCAATGTGTGGTTTTAGATATCGTTAATTATATATTTGGGATGCTGTTGAATGATATAAACCATTACGGATTTTTTTTGACAAAGGGAACTGTTATATCTTGTATAAAGAATCGATTTCAAGGGGAATCACTCTTTGTCACTATAAACATGATAAACTGTTAAGATGTTGTATAAAGTGCATACTTAAACGTAAAAAACGATGTGTGTACTAAAGCCATATATGAACTGCTTTCACAATGGGTTTACCTACTGTGTTGAACGGCATTAAATCTGCTTCTCGTTTCGATTGTTTTACATTCGTCATGTAAGGGCTTTTTATAGTTTGCTATGCGGTATGAAATTTGCCCTACAGTGGCATGTTGTTACAAACTTCTACATGTTCTACCTCATTTGGTCTCTGTTAGAAAGTTATCACATTGGTATTGAAACCACATCTCCTTATTTGTACATTTAGATAATCATTAACATTTGAAGAAGTTATTAAATGTTCACTGACTGCATACGTCATTGTTCTTGCAGTGTGAGTTGCAATTAATATACTGTTACAGTGAGCAAAGAAGAACGATTCGGTTGAACATTTTGTATTGCGTAAATAAGATTTTTTTATCGTGACATGTATTATATTATTTGCACAAAAATACACACAAAGTTTATTTTTTGTAGTTTCACAAATTTAAAAAGGAACAATATGAAACACACAGTATAAAATACAATAAAGCAAGGTTTGAAAAAAACATGGATAATATCAAACATTCTCAGGTCAACAGCTAAAGTGAAATATTGCTGCAGCATTCGTACATTCAATAAACAAGAAATTAAAATGTAAAGTCATACATCTCACTTATGTTTATTAATATTTAATTAGTTATTTCATATGATCACGATCTCTTTCTCTTCCTATTATATCTTTTGCAAATTCCCGTTGCGCATTTAGCATAATTTGGTGAGTGGTTCCTGAAAAGACATTAGTAGAGCTATTATATTGTAATGGAGTCGCTCGATACAACATTGCCTTGTTTATCTTTTATATTTCATACACGGAAATAAACTTTACGAACTGAAGGGAAAACATCATATGTGTATTTATATGTACAAGCTTTTAATGGCGGTACACAACATCTGTTTTAGGTGTCAGACCACCAATTCAAAATCCCTATCTATTCAACCAAATTTTTCAATTTTCACAGCTTTCTTAAAAATTTACCTCAAGTTTAACTTCATAAAAACTAGGTATATCCTGAAATGTACATGTATCACCTTTCTACATGCCAATTTCCAACCCATGTCTAAAGTCTTGTAAGAAAGAACTGCCTTGGGGAAGACAAGTACTACTAAAAATAACCCCTGGTTTTCTGGAAATCTTAAATAAGTATACTATGGAACGCATTAATCTTCAATTTTTAATGCAAACTCATAAACAAGTAAATTTAGCTCAAAATGTTCTAAATATATTTCTCTAATTCTTCGTCAATTTATCCCTTTCTGCACCCATTGTATAAAAAATTTAATCAACGTGTGGTTCGTTTGATCTCAGTTCTTCATTGGTTAAAATCCGATTATGACGTCGAATTTTCTTGCTTTCCTCTGAATTTCCTATTGTGACGGCATGAAAAAAGGCGACCATGCCTGATGACGTCACATAGAAAGAACACATCTTTTTGCAGATCATTCGAAAAGAAGGAATACATTTGCCTGCGTATTGTTTGAAAATCATTAAAGAAACAGATTCCACAACCAAATCTCGTGTAATACGATATTTATCCACTCTCGACAGTTAAATTTTAAATATTTAAAAGGCTCGGCAAGCCTCGCGTTTTAAATTTGAAAATTTAACTGTCTCGAGTGGATAAATATCGTATCACACTCGATGCAGTGGTAGAATCTATATTTATCTTTCACCAAAAGTTTCATTTCTGCAAATTTGTTGGTTAGTTTAAGTAAACAATGACATCAAAAGCACTATTTTGTGTCAGAGTAGGGCTACTTTTACATACGTTCTAAATTGGAGGGAGTGGATTGGTGGTCTGACACCTTTAGGAAAAAGAAAAACATATTGTTTTCAACGCTTACGAAAAGTTAATGTTTCTGATTTTTTTTATATACATGCTATACTGTTTGCAAATATCACTTTTTAAAAAGCACATTACATCTCTACGAGAACCAAGATGGCTTCATTTTTATAAGGCAAGAATAAAAGGCTCCAGCATTTCAAACTTAAAAAATATTTAAAAATTTTGAAAAGTCAGACGCAGAAAATTTATAGTGTTATTCCTTATATTATTACAAGTATGCGGTCCTATTAAAAAAAATTATATAATCTTGCTCCCACCAGACTGCTTCTTAAATGAAATCGTTTGGATCTCGTCGAACGTTTTAAAGACCAGTTACATTGTTTGGTCATTACTTAAATCTGCCTAAAAGATTACGATGTTTTGTGATCATTTGTTTACACAACAATCTGTTCTCCTTATCTCATTTATCACTATCACCGATAGATGTTTTTTCCAAATTAATATTTCAAACTTTCAAAAGGATGATACAGCTATTAGTGCTGACATGCGAGTCCAACAGGTGCTCAAGCGGACATCTTCTCCATATTTGGTTGGGTTTTCAAAGAAGGTTTTCTTTCTTGTTGGCTATCGACAAATAATTGACCACTATATAATAAATGTTTGCATGGATCAGCACTCATCAGTATAGGAAACACATACCTGTAATATCGTTGTCTTTACAACTTGGACAAAGTAAACAAGGAGCCAAGCATAAGATAGTGAGAACTCTAAACGGAATATTCAGTGGTGAAGGTATCTTATGTTCGTATTCAATCACTACTGCATGCCGATGGTAACGCCATTTCTGACTGGACTTTTCTTTTATTAAGTCAAACCGTGCACTTAAATAGAAAATTAAACAGTTATAAATTCAATTTGTCTTTAATCTAAATAGTTAGTTAAACAAGATGTTTAGTTTTAAGCAACCCGAATTTCCGATTTTATCAATAAAACAAAACTTAATTCCTTTCCAAAACATAATCAAGACAAAGCATAAACATTCTACTATGTATATAGATACATAATTGATAACAAATAAACATTCAACACGGCTGTTCATTAATTGTCTTCTTCCAAATTGAAAGCACGTCTTATGTTAGAGATAATTTTGTCTAGGCAATAAGGTGTTACAATAAAAGTTTCAAACTGAATTTTTTAGATAACTTTTCCTATATTGAGGTGTCATTAATAGTGACATACTTAGTTAGCATTCGGATAATTAGTAGAATTTGTAGTAACGTTATTCAAATGATAGTGATAAGAACACGGCAGCAGATATGCACCATTTTCGACTTATTTTAAGAATTTAGCTATAAAACTATCTATGGAGAGTCATGAAATCAATTCAGAGATCAGAGAAAAGTTACGATGAATGTCATGAAGCCAACAGAATAAATCATATATAATCAAAGACAAATCACGTTGCGAAGACTTTTAGCCTGACTAAAACGTAGTTTGTTTATGAAAATAAATGTACCTGAACATTGCAATAACAATATTTAGTAGTAGCCAGTTTGTTAACATCATATATGTAGCAGCAATTACTGGAGGTATCAAATCAGACGTAGGACATCTCTTAAATGAAGGGTCGTTCTTCCATAATGTAGCATTATCTGTGCATTCAGGATCATCTGAACCTTAAACACATTTACACTATATAATCAATATATATCTAACTTAAAGTTGATAAAAAGACATGAATTACAGAAAATCTTTTAAAATGTCCAATATCAAAAACTGCTAAATTACAAATTTATTTGTCCACGCAACAAGAGCATGTGAAACTGCGTACGAATATCACCAAAAATATATAATTATATTCATAACTTTTTTACACTTCAGAAGATAAAGAATTTTTATACTCTGTAGAAAATTACAAGTATATATAGAATACACGTAAATATCGCAAACAAAAAATAAATAATTTGTCTTTAAATTGCTTCATCTAAAAAAAAACCCGTTCTTCCAATTTTCTTAAATTTTCTTTAAAAATTATATGTTGCTTCACTACAATTTCCGTTTAATTGGTATACAATTGATGTCCTGCGAATTTGTTTTGTTAACTGTATAGACCATCCAAGTATAATGAAATATCTAAAAACCTCGAAAAATTAGAATTCGATGCATAATGCAGTCACGACGTAATGCATTATTTTTTGGACTTTTCGGTACTTTTTCACTCTTGTGCAGAAGATTCTAAACTTAACAAACATTATAGATGGGCTCCTTTAGCTCGTTGTCGTTTGATGATCCCCTATAAATCAATATATATTTTTTTTGAGAGAGTTTATTAACATGATTTCGACAAAAATAATTTGAAGTCAAACTGTTATGAGATACTTATATTGTGTAGGTATATAATGTTTTATTGTACCGGATATTAATTAAGAAAAATCGTGAAAAAGAATAAAAGTTACATATATTTTTCGATATTCATAAAACTTTGCAGTTTTGTCATGCAAAATTTGAAAAAAACAAACAAACTTGAGATCGATCATAACGTACATTTTACCTTAAATTAAAGTGTACGTCTTTGAAATAGTTTATACAGGCACAATTTGACGGTAGAATGGCTTTGTTTTCAATATTATACATGAACGACTCACTCTTTCAGATATTTAATTAGCCTACCTTAAAGATTGTTTTTAACAAGAAGTCTTACTTGGAAATATATGGAACGTATAGATTTGTTTACCCGCTACAACAAAATTAAATCGGCTATAGTCGTAAATTAATAATTTTACAAAAGTGCAAACGTTTATAGTAGGCGGTACCGTTCCTACGTTATCTGCTTATCGTTCATTATGCTTAGAAATATTCAGTTCAATAGTCAATAAATATGGTTATCATACAAACGCACTTTTTGCCTATCTCGCTAATAACAACTCGCTTGCAACAAGATAAGGACGAAATAGTTACAATAACTAGATAACTTTCGGCAACCTCGGGTTACAGTAGCAAAAAAGACTTTGAAAAAAAATAAATAAATATTTTGTCAATTTGGAAAATATATCTTAAGTCAACTATTACTTAGAAAATTTAAATACATAAAAAGATTGTTTCTTTGAAAAAAAAACCCATGTCTGTCTAAAGTCAAACCTCTGTAATTCAGTGGATCGCATTGATTGTTATCTGCCTGATTTGTTTTTGATTTGTTGTTTTTAGAATAGATCAGGCTGTTGGTAATATCTTTTTATATAATTCACAATTTTCAACCCGATGTTCATTGTTTAAAGCCGTACAGTGCTCTTTAGATGTTAACGCCCATTTCCATTTAATCTGTGGTGGACATTTGATACCACATCTACAACTACTGATTCATTAAGATATAGATTAACATTATAGTAATAAAACTGATTAAAAACAAATATTAGAATGTTTTTATTTGCTATATTTTTTATTATTTCAAGCTGTGAATTTCAAACAAACCTTCAATAACATCCAGATACAACTCTCCGTAAACCTGCCAGTAAGGTATTTTCAGGATTGACCAAATTTGCCAGTTCCAGATATTGCTTGGAAACGCCGTAACTGTATGATTAGGGTAGATATTCGCCTGGTAAACTATACCAGCAGCTAACATAAATAGTATTAGAATCACCAAATATTCGACCAGATCCACCAGCTGAAAATTTTTTTTTTTTATTTCATTTATACTTTTTACATTCATCTTTTTTACTATTATTATTCTAGCTTAATGAATACTGGCGGAAAAAACCTACGAACATCTAAGCAAAAACAACTTGTATGTGCTAAACATAAGGAATACAAGCAAACCAAAGTCGCATCCATTTTAAGCTTTCTAAAACTGTCTATCCATCAATTTCAAAACGTCACGTTTTGTCTAGCTGTATCAAAAAAACATTTTCTTTTTGAGTTTCCATTGCAATGTATTTGATGTTATAAATCCTAGTCCGACAATAACATAAAAAATGCAAAATCGTTTTGTTCTTTTCCTCTCAAATTTTTTGAAGTGTAGAAAGGAAACAAAAGGCTTTTCTATTTCTATCTGGTGAATAACAGACTCAAAAATCCTTCGGTCTCAGGTGCATAGATGTCTCATTGGTAAACATATATCGTCTTCGTGTTATAATGTTAACATCATGTTATTAACATCACTTTACAAATTTCATGCGTCAGAAGTGCTTTTCTGGATTACACTTCATCAGGAAGGCTCAAATATTTGTAAGCTAAGAATGTATAAGAACCAGTTGAAGAGCTATATGACATAAAATGACCTCATCACAATAGCACAAATCATCTTAGGTCAAATTTGTCTCACGGAGTTAAAACCTTAATTTCTAACTAATTGCTACATTTATTAACTGGCAATTTTAGATAGGTTTGTATAGAAATCATACCAGTACCGATGTACTTACTACTGAGCTGGAGATACCTTCGGAGACTGTTAGATGTAAAATGACTACATTGAACCTTATTTTAACGGCATGAACAACAATTGTTAGAACAGGCATCATGTGACATTTAAATGATAACAAATATGTAGATAAACTAGGTCATTATTGCTTTAATTGGACACGGAGGTGTATTTTGTATATTGTTTAAACTTACCATTTCTTTGATCATTATGATAATGATACCAATTCGTTTTATCAACAGTAAAACATTCAATAGGCGCAGAAACATAATGAACAAGGCTACACTGTATATTCGTCTGGTATGAGTAAGCATCTCTGGATCAAAGTAGTGTAAAGCAAAGCCCGCAATGTATAAAATGACGCAAAACAAGTCCAACATGTTCCATAGGTTAAACAAGTAAAGCAATATTCTCTGTGGAGACCAGTTACCATCTTGTGGTCGAACCTAGAAAGCGATATTATCAAGAAGTACATTGATTAAACAATGAAATTCGCTTAATGGTCTAATATGAAATCATTCTAGTTAGCACTATTGAACAAATGTGTGATTCAAATATTTAAAGTTACTCAACATATTGAACATATTGAACATTTCAAAGTATCGGTAAATAGGAAAAAGGCACCTTATAGATCTGCAATTCAAGTACTCAAACGTTATAACTCGTTACTGTCAAGCTGTTGATGAAATGAGAAGTAATTATGTTAATTAACTAAATATTTCATAAATTTTAGTCATCCGAAGCGCTTTTCTGGATTTATACTTTATATGAAACGCTAAAACATAAACATTTGATAGCCATAGATGCGCTTTTACGCTGCAACTTTCAGAAATATACGACCAAATAGGACCTGCGCAGGATAGCCAAATTTGTCTTATTTCAACATGGAGGCTAGAACCTTAGTTTCTACCTCACAACTAATAACTAAACGGAGAAGTTAAAAAAAACAAGTCTGTTAAAAGTAGTTTGTTAGAAAATTGTGATAAAAATAATTGTTGAGTGAACGGACGGACGTACAAATGAACAGAATAAAGACGGACAGACGAACAAGGTGATTGCAATATAGATCTTAGTTTCGCAGGTTGGGGTAAAACTTAACTTCTACTAATGGAATAGTGACAGTCATATTTCCAAAATTAGGGTGGTAGACTAAATCTCTTACAAAGGATTAGAAATGTAAAATTCCAAAACGTTTGAAGGTATTTGATAGTTTTTGCTGGTATGGTTTTTATTGTCGTTTACATAAGGAAAAGCCCTTGGTCTGGTATGGTTGTTTGTATGTGATACCTAAGTCGCTATGAAAAATGCCATGTATTGATTACTATCAGAGCGTTCAAAACATGTGTTCATGTTTTTTTATTTATCTTTTCATTTGTCTCTGTTTGTATGATAATATTGGGTGCATTTTAAAATCTGAATTATTAGTCATGATATTGTTTTGACGTAATTCCATAATTCTGAAAGTTATTAACGAATGTATTTCGTCATACATTATTCAGAAAAGAATGTTGATGGTAAACTGAAACAATAATCATTTCAATAATGTTCTTTCGTTCGCTAACAATCATTTGATATAAGCAGACATTAAATAAATTATTTAAAGATTAATAAACTTGTTAAACAAGGTATAGTTATCTTATCACGATAATTTTATTTTCACTTCTTAAAAGAAATCCACCCTTATTGAATTGAAAAAAATATACGTAATTTTAGAAAAAGACGAGGTTGCACTTTGTTCGTTAAAATCAAAAGTTAACAGATCATCCCGTACATAAGCCTTTCTTTTTAAAAACAGGTTTTTGACTTTTAAAATAATATGGGTTATCATGTAGTTGTCAACAGTGAAATATACTTACCATGCTCCATAACTGCTCTAATAGATCCCCTACCATGTAAAAGAATAGCACGACTTCTAACACCGAAATCTTTGTGTTTAGATCACGGGTGAGAAAATAGCTGAACAAAACTAAAGTTGTTACAAAAAACACCTGAAAAATGGGAAGTATATATCTATCAATTTAGTCATGATAAAGCACAAATTGTTTACTAAATTCATTTTTTTTTTATTAACAGATACGATTTATCCTTTTTATATTTAGATGCACTGTAAGCGTTTAGTACCAATGTTTTTACTTTATACATTTGGAAAAAAGTTAAAATTATTTAGGTTATGAATACTAACATAGGAATAACTACGTTAATTAATGACTTCACTAAAATCAAAGGAGCAACAGTAGTTTCCTTTGCAGGTATTACATATGAAAACAACACTTTATAAATGTCATGAGGCCGAAGCGCTTTTCTGAAATTGACGAGTAGTTTTTAATGCGTCAATTCGGCAAACTCGATCACATACTGAAATGTTTAATTGAACATATCAATAACATTCGTAAAACAAGAGGCTCTCATGAGCCTGAATCGCTCACCTGTATTTCAGAGGAGAAAATTTTTAAATGTCAGCAAACTTGATGAACAAATTGTGTAAAATTGTCTTTAAAGGGCAATAACTCCTTAAGGGGTCAATTGACAATTTTGGTCATATTAACTCTTTTTGTAGATCTTACCGTGATGAACATTATTGCTGCTTACATTTTATATATATATATAATAATATTCAAAATAATAACAAAAAACTGCAAAATTTTGTTAAAACTACCAATTCGATGGCAGCAACCCAACAATGGGTTGTTCGATTCGTCTGATAATTTCAGGGCCGATAGATCTTGACCAATTAAACAATTTTACCCCATGTCACATTTGCTCTTAAAGATTTAGTTTTTGAGATATAAGCCAAAAACTGCATTTGACCCTTATGTTCTATTTTTAGCCATGGCAGCCATGTTTGTCGATGGATACCAACTTCCGATACAATTTATAAACAAGATACCCTAAGGAACATATAGTTAAAGTTTGAAGGTAATTGGCGTAGTAGTTTCAGAGGAGAAGATTTTTAAATGTTAGCAAACTTGATGAACGAATTGTGTAAAATTGTCTTTAAAGGGCAATAACTCCTTAACGGGTCAATTGACAATTATGGTCATATAAACTTTTTGTTAGATCTTACTTTGCTGAACATTATTGCTGCTTAGAGTTTATATATATCTATAATAATATTCAAAATAATAACAAAAAACTGCAAAATTTTGTTAAAACTACCAATTCGGTGGCAGCAACCCTACAATGGGTTTTTCGATTCGTCTGAAAATTTTAGAGCTGATAGATCTTGACCAATTGAACAATTTTATCCCATGTCAGATTTGCTCTAAAAGCTTTAGTTTTTGAGATATAAGCCAAAAACTGCATTTGACCCCTATGTTCTATTTTTAGCCATGGCGGCCATGTTTGTCGATGGATCAAAACTTCGGATACAATTTATAAACGATATACCCTAAGGAACATTTAGTTAAAGTTTAAAGGTATTTGGCCCAGTAGTTTTAGAGGAGAAGATTTTTGAAATAGTTTACGACGACAGACGACGACAGACGACGACAGACGATGACGACAGACGACGACGACAGACGACGACGACGGACGCCAAGTGATGGCATAAGCTCACATGGGACCCTTCGGGCCCCGGTGAGCTAAAAAAACAATTATTTTTTTCGGATGCAGATAATTGCACAAAAAATTAAGCCAAGATCAAATAGTTCATGAACCATCACAGAACACTTTCGCTTATATTGGTATAATTACACATGTAGTCATTGGAATGGTTTATACGTGCGTCATCAATTAATTAACACACACAACGCTCATCAAGAAAATGACAACACACAACAATGGAATTGGGAAAACATATGTATATTTTTCTTTCTTATGAACTTACAACATTTGCGACTAGCTTGATGATCGGTGCTGTGACAAATTTCCATGTGGACTTCCAGTGCAAGTGGTGCTAAAATATATATACAGTATTGATTATTATTATAATGGTATGTGGAAAAAAAAATATATGTTGGTCATAATAGATACAAGAAAAATTTTCTCCATTAATCAAGCTGAAGAAGCGTCATACGAAATCATACATTAAGTTGCAAGCGTAAATACACGAAGTCAAAATTCATTATGCCGTCTTTTAAAATCACATACATAGATCTAAATCATCTCAAGATTGTGAATCTTTTAATTAACACATATAGTTTCTTTAGATAAAAAGGGGATTCTACGAAAGAGATATCATTTTTAAAATATTATATTTTACGAACACAAAATAATGGTTAGATTACGAATACAAGTTTATACATATCTAACTCTCCACTCTTACAACATTCTAAATATACAATATGTAAATTTATGTCTTTACTAAACTGAATGGTAATTTGGTGTATGATATTCATAGCATTAGTAGTGTTACTTTTTATCAATAATACATATGCAGAAAATCTGTAACAGATAAATTGTCATACAAAACCTTGATAAATGCTGTACATTCTCGACTGAGATTTTCATTCTTTTTTGTGTCGATGTCGCTTCTTTGTTGGGTAGATTCGTAGGGAAATAGCCGTTTGCTAGCATCTTTCTGTGCAGAGGGATGCGAAATAAATTCTTCCAAGTTGAATTGGTGTCCAAAATGTAACGGTTTTTCTTCAAGACCCCATACCTCAGAGGTGTAATCAAGAGCTTTGGTTGCCATTTCTTCGTCTTTTTGAAATAGTTTGTCCAAAAGTTTAATGGCACGTGACAAGAACTTTCTGACAACCACAACATAAAAGAAAACGAAAACTATAAAATAATCTGTGAAAGTATGATTGCACCTGTACTGTAACTTTATGTCACAGCTCAATATGGTAAGCGAATACGTTTATAATAATGGATGTAGGGGGATTCACATTAATTCAATATTCTATAGTTTGAGACACGACCACAATGTTATATGTCCGCATTCACAATATATACAAATTTATTCTGGGAATTGTGTCGCTATGTTGCTGTTTTAACTTCTTCTATGTACATCCATCGATATGAGAAAATCAAAGGGCAATATTTAGTGTGATAGACGTCAGGACGTAAAACATAACTTATACTTTACTGACGCATCTAACCTATATCCTATACTGAAAATGCATTGGTAATGTTAAATTATTTTAAGTGAGGTTTTTCTGGTAAACAAGAGATAACTCAATATCAAATCACGTTTTACCAATGATTGAGTGGTGTTTAACGCCATTTTCAGCACTATTGTGCTATTTCCGTGCAGTCAGTTTTTATTGGTGGTGAAAGCCGGAGAGCTCCGAGAGAACGATCAACCTTCGGAAGGAAAACTGATTCCTAGTCAATTAAGATTGAAGTCGGGCGCACCTACCGGGTGCGGTATTCGAACTCACAACATCAGTGTTGACAAGCTAGTGTTACAGTAGTTGGACTACTCAGACCACTCGGCCACCGAGGTCCCTATTACAAATAAATAACACGTACAATGCTTTCATCAAATATAGATAATGTCGACAGTCCCCAACAAAACAACACATAAAACACCAATAAGAGTGATTTCCATCAAATGTTTATTATCTCCTAATAACTGATACTGAATATTTATTTTACCTCCAAAATGGTAATTGGACCAATAAATGATTTCAAGCTGTGGTATTGTTAAAAGCTTCATACTAATACATATGGAATATTAAGGTATTAACAAAGACTTGCATACATGCATTGTACATATGGACACATATGTCAAATTACGTCAACATCAAGCAATAACTGTTGCTTGGGTCTTGAATACTCATACTGTAATATTATTACTTATCTTTAGTGGTTGTAGTTCTTTGTCATGTTTGGTGTTTGTTCTCAATTCTACATTTTGTTCAATTTAATAGAACCTTAGCCACATTGTACAGCAACCAATCAGAACCGATTTTCGTTTAGTTATAATTTCAGGACGCCGTAAATATTGCACGAAACGTATGGGTAAGCATTGTTATGCGAAGAAAAATAAAATCCATTTTGGAAAACCGGTTTAAACAGAATGTAAGAAAATAAAACTACTAGTATAGTATTTGATAACTAAGCATCACGATTATGTTTTATCTTACCAGCAAACCCTTTCTGATGCAGTAATTGGGTTTAAGCATAATTTAAAAAACAATGTAGGGCTCCATAGTGATAAACTGTCCATATCTATGAGGGAATGAATGTACTACTGTAACTATAACAGTACATACCTTGAATGGGATAATAGATTTTTTTGAAGTTCTTCCTCATATAAACTTTCGGCTTTGTCTGCCATAGCAATGAGGTATGTATGTGCAACTAGAGCGGTCACTGAAAACATAGCAAATACGTTATTCGTTATTATCAACAATCATACATTTACATTTAGGCTTCTGACAAAATAACAATCAAAAAACCACAAGATGTCAAATTCTCGTGTTTCTTAAAATTGAGAAGGTTTAAATCATAACCGTCTACTCGAGAGATTCTGACGTATTGTCTTACTGTTTACCTGACGGACTCGTACACCAGGTTTATCTGGTTACTATCTGGTTTATATATTAATACAATATCAACCTGTGAACTGTAATATAAAATAATCTTTGTACTAAGGATCCTCTCCATGTCATCTTATCTGCCACAACTGTATCATAGTGATTTTTCCATGATAAACAGTCCATCAAATCCGTGTTCCCAACTTTAATGGATACTCTTATCTCTCTTGTAATGCTCTTATGATTTTCATCGACTGAGTAACGCAAACGTTGATTACGTTTTTAGGACCATATTACTGTTGTCTTAACATATTCTACGTGTTTCAAAAAATAAAATAAGGGGGCAATATGAAACCCTATGACCAATAAAAACAGACAACACCACTGCTAGAAAAATACGACAACACAAAAAGATATATGAACCCAACCAAAAAATGCTGAGAACTAAGTTGTTTCAATCTCCCATGTAATTTTAAAGATTACAATGTGTTTAGCCGTTGCTGGATTGTTGTTTCATTGCCATTTACACGTTATCTCTGTATTTTTGTCCTGTATTTGCCATAAAACAATCTTTGAAAATGCAATCAATGAATGCTAAGTTACATCTTATTTGAAAAAGAAAATGTTGTTTAGAAACTGACTTGATTACACAAATCAGATGTTACTTTACGTAGGTTAGTTGATGTATATTTAAATGCAGAAAGAGTATTTAATATGGTCACTTAAGACGGCAATACGCTAGGCACAAATGTTTATGGACGCAGAATTGCCTGTTTTGCATTCCAATACATTTTTTTCTCATGTGATATACCCAAACCCGATGACCTTATAACAATTAAAAGTATGTTCTTACGCAGAGGGTTTTCACATTGACTCCATAGTTCTGCTGCTAGTTTAACATGATTACTTATTACAGCAACCCTTAGAGATTCAATTACAGGTATTTCTGCATTTGGTTTAATTTCCCTAGGTTTAGTCGCATCAGTTTTACAGCATGTTACCATTCCAAGTTTAGAAAAACAGATTCCTACAAAATATTTTCAAATAAGCAGAAATTATTTGTGAAAATCAAAACAAATAATGTGACCAGTATAAAAAAAAAGATATATTCAATCACCATTATCAAATCACAAATGAAGTGTCAATACAAAATGAGAAGTAATCATTAATAAACTGTTTATCTGGCCAATATTGAATATTATAATATTTACTTGTAAAATATCTTCTTTTGTGTAGTTAGTCTTTAGTGATATCCATTAATTAATCCCAATTTTTCGCGGCGGGTTAAAAATCTTGCAAATATTTTATACAAATGTGTCTATTGTTTACGATCGTTTCCTGTCCTTCATATGACTATTTTACTTCGTTAAGGAAAGTTACATATACTTTGATGTAACTCATTTCAAAAACATTAACACTTAAAACCATTAGTCATTGAGCTTGACTTATTAAAGCTTGTCCACCAGTTTAAAGTTTAAGTAAAAATGAACTGGAATGATGTTGGCAAATACTTATGTTCATGATAGTTTTATTATGTAATAAGTGATGTAGCGCAAATCGTTTATTCAGGTAAAAATATAAGAAAAATCATGATATATGGGTTTTACTTAAGTAACATTACCACTATGAAAGGGAGAGGAAGGTGGCTTTACGTGATAGCCATACAATATTCATGAAATTTTAACGCAGTAAAACACTAACACTGATTTTGACTATAGTCGAATTCTTATGATTTCATTCGAGTTGTGCCATAGTAAATGGATACAAAAATCTGCATAAGTCTACTATTTTTCAAATAATAAGACAAACTAATTAAATTCCATGCACTGATAACAAGTAAAATATATATAACCTTATTTTTTCAATGATCAACATAAAACATGTCGTCATTATATTAACTACGTCCGATATTAAAGTTAAAACAACATTATGCATAAGTTAAGTTGATGGTGTGATTTGGTCTTAAAGAAGCTCTTGCTAAAACAATGTTATGTAAAAAACTTATCTCACTCAACAGTTATCAGTTTTTTTCTGATGTCCAGATTGTTGAATTAAGGCAACTGAGGTTTACCGATGGTTTAATCTTCGAAAATCTATTACGAAGATACAAATTAAGGTTACAATCAAAAACTGAGAAAAAAAGGAGCAATACCTGGTAAGTGGACGGGACAAGCGTCTCCTGCTATACATGCATCATCCGCCATGAGAATCCATACTCAGTAAAATGTCTCAATCGGAAATAGGACACAGTCGGTTAGAATTATAAATAAGACGATTAATAAAAATAAGATGGGGTATGATTGCCAATAAGACAACTATACACAAGATACCAAATGATATAACAACTATAGGTCTCCGTACGGCCTTAAACAATGAGTAAATCCAACACCGCATAGTCAGCTATAAAAGACCCCGAAATGACAACTGTAAAATAATTCAAACGAGAAAACTAACGGCCTTATTTATGTACTAAATCATGAACGAAAACAAATATGATATACAGCAACAAACCACAACCACACTACAGGCTCCCGAGTGTTCAAACGTTTTTGGAATGCTGTTTGTGTGTTCGTCGTTTTATTGTTGGCTATTTTACTGTCTGTCTTTCTTTGATTTACGGTTTCTGTACCCCATTGGTATTCAAATATTAGTGTGTGCTTGCTAAAAAATTTACAAGCGTTCCTTCATAGATCTTTTTAAGAAATAAAAGATTAATAGAAAAAGGAAGAATCAAAGAGTAACACAAATTTTATGTCGTTGTGCTCAAAACTCTTATACATTGCAACTTTCAGTTAGTTTAATCAAATTTGTCTTTTCAAAAAAGTTATGTATGTCATTTAAAAAACCACACTAATTATAAGTTGTATTTTGACTAATACTAGGACTCAGTTTGTATTGAAAAATTATAAGAAACGTTGTTCAATAAAAAAAAAGCGTTCCTTGGATATTTTCCTTCACAATCACACAAAAAATTTTATAAGCTTGTGTTTTTTCTAAGAAACACTGCTAACTATAGATATAAAAATTAGTTAAACTAACTGATCAAAGTTGGAACATATATTGTTTGTCGCTCACCTTGAAGTAGTTTATTCGATATCTTAATAACAGCATCTCTAGCGTTTTTAAACCCTGATCCCTTGCCTTCTTTCAAATATGTGAATGCTTCTGGATACACACTCTGAAACGTAGAGAAACTATAAAGAAAAATCAAACAAATACACTCCCCTTAAGTATCAACAAAAGATCACTGAAACAATCACAATGTAAAAAAAACCTAATTTAAGTACAAATGTAGAGCGACATGACTGTTTTATTATCAATGCCGTTAATACTTGAAGGTCAACGATTGTCTAACATTAAAAAAAATTATATATTAAGATAAAGATTGATTGCTTCTTTGCCTCAAGTGGCAAATATAACCCTCATAATAAAGTCTTTTTTGGGGTTTTTTTTGTTGGTTTTTTCATTTGAACATGTAAATTAAACTAGCTTGCTTTATAATAAAGTCACAAACTAAAGTCGAAAACTTAAACGTTTTATAACGTTTAGATCAAGGGATAACGATGTCTTACTATCCGAAAACGTTATCAGATCGTATTTAGCATGTAAATACATCTGACCACAATAAATTTCAAGTTATAGGAATTGCTTTGAATAAAAATTCATTTTCCCATCTGCGACACTAGAACTATAATCATGCAAAAATACTAATGATTTGTTTACAGTTTAAAGAAAATCGGTATGCGGGCATTGGGCGTTGGAGCGGATTTAAATGTTGACACAAAATCAATAGTTTTAGTTATCTCGTTGGTTTCTTGTGGTTATTTTATCAAATGGCAGTAAATTATGCTTTTCTACCAAACACCATGTTCCTGAACGTCTTGACCATTTATATCTCTTATTCCTAAATGTTAAAAGATTATTTTTTTAGATTGGCAACAGAACAAAGTTAAAAATTTAATATTAGACCTAGTCGTAACGAGCTTGCATTCTCAAACCCAAACATATGAATTTAAGAAAATATGGAATATACAAATCATCTTAGTGATCCAAAAACTACAAGACTTTTACAGATCAAAATATCGTTTAAATAACACACATGTATAATGAAGATAAAAACATTCAATATATTTATAAGATAGATTATGTGTAATTGCTTAGATACCGCCCTGACTTGAATAGGCGATGGTTGTCAAACGCTTATTCAAATGTTTTCAAAAGAAATCTCCAATTTTCCACAAATAGTGTGAAAAGACTATCCGACCTCCAAATTTTCAGATATTGTCTAACTTTTATTCAAAAACAATACCTCAACTAATATAAAACCATTCATGCCATTGTCTGTTTTGCTGGTTATTGACTTCACAACCTGCAATAAAATCATCGTCTTTTATGTGTTCAAATGTATTACCCTAAAGTATCTTACAAACCTTTAAGGTTTTACTCGTGTTATTCTAATTGATCTAATTACCATGTCAATACCGCTGACCAAAATGCCTTTTGGATTTTTGAAAATACCTCAGATAAACTTTGTTTTCCCACAAAAAATTTGACCTAAAATCATGCCCCAATACGTAGATGTTTACTGGTGTTAGTAATGGAATGCCTCAAAATTTGTATTCCTACTTGTCTAATTCTGAGGTAATTGTCGTCATCATGTCGAATTAACTGTGTTATAATATTTGTTTCGCTTTTATTAATTTTTATAACAGCATTTCAAACATGTTATACTTTTGGAATGAACACGACGAGTATTATAAGTACATCTTTTTAGTATGTACTCTATTGACTAAGCGTTTTATGAGTAAAATAAAGAGTAACATGTAAGGGAATCCATGCAGTGTTACATGATATCGTTATTTTAGAAATTAAAGTATAGTTCAGGATTGTTTTGTTATATTTGAAACATCACAAAATAAAATCAGTTTAGATGATTATTGTTATGAAGAAGAACGGCTGACGTCGACATGACATAAGTTTAACGTCACCAGTATGATTGGTTTGACCTACGCGATATGTCTCTGTCTAAAATCACTACCGGTATTTGTTTTAGCAGTCTTAGAGTGGTGGAAGGTACCAAAGGGGAATTCATAAGTCGAAGAAAAACTGACAACGCCCTGGCAGAAAAATAGTCTACAATATGCAAAATAGAAAAGAGAGAATGAGCAACACGAACCCAACCAAAACCTGTTGAGATATCAGGTCAGGAAAACTCGATGATAAGTCTTATTCGGTGATGTCACATTCATGGAAAACAGAACGGGATTGTGGTTTTGACAGTTTGAACATATTTGTCGTCATCTGTAAACCAGAAACGTGATGGCGTCCGTAAATTTTTTTCAAAACATGACTTCAACTTCAGCACTTGGTACCCTTAGTCTAATAACTTCCGTGTAAACAGCAACCCTCTATTAAGGAATCCATGATAGGAAATGTAAGCTCTGGAGTATCGAATCAACTGGGAGATATATACTTTAAATGCAGACGCTGCTGTTTTGTTGCTACTGAGGAACGGAAAGTTAACAATTGCGAAGCTGGTTTCATCTCTTTTGTCTTAAATTATTGTTCTCAACCGAGCTTCATTGTCAATTTCTAGATGTCAGTCAAGACATGGAGCAGATTCAACTGTATCTGTTGAATGATTTTTTCTTTTTACGAAGTTCGATAGAAACGATGCTTTGAACATAGTCACCAAGCTTTGAATTATTCCATGACAGGACATCATTTATAAGTAAAGCGGAAGGAGAAGTTAAAAGATAGTACAAGTTTCTGTTCATTCTGCAAGCTCCTGTATGAAGTCTTAGATCTTAATTTAAGAGAATAGTCATCTAATATGTAGTTGTACCGATTGCGTCCTTTCCCAAATTATGACATTTCTACTGAGTATCGATTTGTATGGCGACTGGTGTATTCCAAATAGGAGGCGCGTCCGGTGTCGTTGAAGCGAGTCTTGCTCATATCTGAGCCCATGCCATTTCGTTAGTTTTTATTTGTAACCTAGATTTGTGCTTCTTAATAGGTTATTGATATTTGAACATCGGTAAACTACTTAAGAGCTATATTGATGTTACAATTAAGTTCTATGCATTAAGTAAAATAATTTACTTTTACGTATAGCATGTCAAAATTTTGCAAGGCAATGTTTTGATATAGAAACATTTGTGTGTTTATTTAACGAAAAACTCTAAACTTGCTTTAAAATGTTTTGCCGAAATTCCGCGACCGTATTTTTGCAGAAAAATTGTCTGTATATGTGTTTTTAAAATAAAACTTATCGAATTTGTGTGCCTTAATATACAAATCTAATTCACAAAATATATATACATCTTATATTACCTCATGACATAATATTTGGAACTGATCTTCGGCTAAGGTAAATTTCGCATCAACGCTTAGTACCTGTTGAATGATATCTGTCCTTTTTCCGAGAAAAGCATTCACAAATGTATGCAAAAAAAAGATTACAAAAATGTGGATGAATTGAATGATTGATTTTCCAAGTGATTGTTATAGTTTAAATAAAGGCAACAGTAGTGTAGCGCTGTTCAATAGTCATAAATCGATTAAACAAAACCAAATCCGGGTTACAAACTAAAACCGAGGAAAAGACATCAAATATAAGAGGAAAACCTCGAAGCATCATAGTTTTTTTTTCTAAATAAATGTTTGTTATATATAATTATCAATTTAAAAAAAAGGGTTATTACGTTGTTATAATTAACCCTTTTATAAACGAAAAAGTTTTAAAGGCCAATTAAGACTATAACAACCTAATACATTTTCCTAGAAAGGACACAGAAACTTGATCTTTAGGTCAAAATTGGTGAGTAGATTTGCAAAATAAGCTTTTTTGTCAATGAAATAAATTATAAACCATGAACGTATCATAAAATCATATCAGTTCTGAGGATCTTGTTAATATATCGATGGTATCTACATGACTGAGAGTCCACAATGAATTGCGCCTACATCGTGTTCATTACAGACGTGTGTTGACGATTATCAAAATCGACTAAAATCAAATTTTCCCAAGGGTGTTGCAATCATATGAGCTGTTTAATAAAAACAAAAATACAGGGAGCTTTTGTACCAAAAGTTTTCATAAAGGTCACCGTAGGTATTTAACAATAAGTAAACCCCAAACCGTATAATAGGCCAATATCGGTCCAAGTATGACACAATATAAAAAAACAAGGCTAAAACATTACACGAAAAACAAAATATGAACACACCAACAAATAAAAACCACTGATGTGCAGACTGCTGAAGATTTTACTTTATCTGTTTTTTATACCTGATGATAATTTTTATTTTTTTCACTGGTCGGTTGTAGGTGATAGCCGGCAAATAATTCTTTCCTTGATAAACCATCGATATTAGAAACATACTTAGAAATAAAATTTATCTGGGAGGGTAGTATAGGATCAGTGGTCAAAGAAACGTCATCTGAAAAATTATTAAGATCAAACAAGTCTTCCGTAAATGTCATTCAAAGTAAACATAAAACAATATCAATGGTAAACATAGAGGTGTGTGAACGTGTGTGTCTGTGCGTGTTAAAGACGTATAAAACATCACGAATAGAATATTCCCTACAAGTATTAAACACGTTTTCAATTTATTTTTTCAAATTGTTACATTTAAACGCGACTACGGAGCACCAATTCCAAGTCTTACTTCCTATTTTAGATACACATACATATTAGATTCTAAACAATATCTAGAAATAGGCAAATTATATATATCATCATAACTCAAATTTCCCATAGATAGATTTAAGGACATTTAATTACAAAATAATATACATCTTGATTTTTGTTGTTGCCTAATAAAATCACGTTAATATGGAAAAGTTTAATGAATCACACAGTAATATATTCTTATAAAATGAATGCTAGACGTGTAAAAAATTCAATCTACATCTTTACAATTATAACCTTGAATAAACATAATAAACATCATCAATCAGTTTTTCTGCTTTGCACACGGTTAGGTTTATCATAGACTTTTATCAAACTGGCTGTGATGTGTCGGTGTCTCTAATCACTAGCTGTCTTAGATATGTTGATGTCAATATAGTCGTCGGATATGTAATTTTACCCATTGTATCATATTCTCGTTTGGTTACATTTTGCCATTTTGCAAGGAGCGCTTATCCTGTTAATTTATACAATATCGTTAGTTTTGAGTTCATACGATTTCTTAGATTCGTGATTTATCAGATATTAACAGCGATTAACTGCTAAAGACTCTAATTCCATCCAGCAGAATACGGTTAAATTAACATATATCAAACACTTTTAAATCAATTATACTTTTGAATAACACGTAGTAGTGCGAAAATATCTATTGAACTTTTATTGTATAAACAAGTATAAACATTTTAATCAAAGGAGGAGGTACAATAAGAGTAATTGATGTGCGCCTGAAAGTGCATTATTAGTAAACCTTATTCAAGGCTTTTAAAAGTATAATAATCTTATTGGTAAATGGACTAGTTGATACAATCTGAGGATTATGGAGTATATACGTCAAATGTTACCATGACACCCAAAACGAGTCTAAATGTATGTATTTGATCTAAAATCGTCATTCCACCCATAGATTAGGGACAACATAGATATAAGACGACAAGGCTTTAACCAAAAAGATAGTTTACACTCATAAATGTCTGTTATGTTACAGAAAAAATGTCTTGAATGAAAACCCTCGACCAATATTGAATATTCACGACAGATTTTTCAAAAATAAGGCTATTTTGACAGTTTTTGCAGTTTCGCACTTAATGCAAGACGTTTAAAACACTAATATCAATTTCTAAGATAAACTTAAAAATATAACCACTTATATCCGACAGATTATCTAATGAACATCTGAAGACATTTTTGTTTTTAATGTATAACACGTTTTTGGTTTCGAATACAAGATGTCAGTTAAAGTGGCCTTGTCAATACAATACAATTTCATGTTACACAAGAACTCAAAAGGAGCGAGACCATTAGCTTCTCAAGTTCTGCATGCATCACCCGCCATGCGAATCCACATTCATTCAAAATTTCTCATCAGGAATAGGGCACAATAGATATTTTTTTACAGATAAAATGACTTATCTGGTATTTAAAGATCTAAAATATAGATAATAATTTGCGCCACAGACACATAAAAATTGATTTCAAAACCAATTACTATTAGATGATTCTAATTCTTTTGTTAAAAAAACTTACTGATCAAATCCGTTCCTCTAGACAAATAAATTACATCGAATTCTAATATAAGATTAGCACAAATAAATTCGGAACAATAAACAAGCCCAAAGTTTTTTTTTATATATTATTTGTTATTCATAGTGGCATAATAAGCGACAATGACTTCAAATATTGCTGTGCTAAAATATAGGTATATCATTTAGATATACTGAACATATTAAAATGATCTACAGTCCATAATTAGTTTTTTTTTTTTGTTTTACAATTTTGTTCAGCTATATTTTGTACAGCCGAACAAATGTTTTTCTGTCGGCTTTCTGAGCGTATCTATGTTGCATTATTTTCGCTACAAATATCATCGAATCAGCAAACAAATGATCGGCTAAATATGTTTCCACTGAAGCACATAAAGCATTGCAGTTCCCAGGATGATTGATCGATTGATTTTTGTTTGCTTAACGTTTAGTTTGGTTACCATGGTGCATTCTGCAAATAAACCAATTATCATAAGTTGCATCCCCTGGTGATTGTGCTGTTTTCCCTTTTTGAACATACATTATATATTGATTGTAGTAGAGGTTTTACAAACATTTTTAATTTTATAAATATGTGAATACCTTCTTTCTTTTCAAATGACCATGACCGTAATATTCCATCTGTAATTTTTCCCCATAATTCATCATGTTTATTTTTCTTAATATTGAATACTGTTATCTGCAAAAAAAATAGTACGCAAAGATATGAATAAGAAACGAATGTGAAATAACTCTGACAAAATTTCCAGTATTATTTTAGAAATGAGGACAAACCAAACATCCATGCAAAAAAAGAATCAAATTCATTGGGCTGTTGTAATATGAAAATAAAATAAAACTCGTTTAGTTTGGATAATCATCTAAACATATCAAAGTATGTTTTAATCAAATGTTTTACTGTGTATGTATAAAAAAGAGAGGATATAGGGTATCAATCCATGACACAATATCGATATATTCACATCAAATACACACAAAGCAAACAAAACAGTGCTTTTGTTATTGTTCTCCATCTCAAAATCACAGAAAGACCTTCAACACAGAACAAAACAATCTCACTTCGCTGCAAATTTAAGAAAACCCGTAGCACTGGTTTGAGCGGAATTCTTTGCAAACTGAAAATCAAGCCACAATTAGGATTTGACGTAAAAACCATAGTGTAATATCAATAAAATACACCTTGCAAAGAAATCTAACATGTACTGTCATAATTTAACCCGACAATCACATTGAAGCGTGCAAAAAACTGACACATTCAGACAACCATGGGGCACATCGAAATGTATGTTAGATATCTTTGCAGGAAATGACGTATTTAAAGGGCAAAAAACTAGATTAGACTATGAAAGATGTAACAGCCCAGTCAAAAAAGTACATACCAAATAGAAGTACATGTCTAAAACAAAATAGTTCCTACGAACGGTATAAATATCAAATTTTGTAGAATATAGTTAGGTAATTTAGGTATGAAATGAAAGGTAAAGGACTTATGATCTTTGTAGAACAATTTTTGACTGGTAATTATGAAAAATACAAAAACATATAAATGAATTCTAAAAATTCATGGCATATGTTGCTGTTTCTCAGATATGAAGTATCTGGTTTGGTGTATTTTAAGTTTCGGTAACAAGTACGGTCCGATATGGAAATAACGGTATATTGACCTGCACCCCAGAAATGTTTGAAAATGTAAACTGTAACATAGAAAGGAATGGGGACAAGAATAGCATTTTATACTTAGATCTGAGTGGATTACATTGTGTTTAATTTTAAAAAATAAGAAGATATCAAAGTACATATGAAAATGTAATCCCAAAAAGAACAGACAATATCATGTCCTAAATACAAGATAAACAAATATGTACAATTATGGAGATAAACTTACAGATTGCCTTAATTAAGTCATTTTAAAATCTATGGTATTTCTAAGCACGATGAGAGAACATAAAGTTCCTGCTCCGCTTATAGAGAAAACTACTATATGCATAAATGCATGAGGAAATGTTCTTCGTGCAGAAAACATTTTCATAGAAAAGGTATCACGTCAAACATTTACGAAAATATACTTGTTATGTGTCTTTCAATAGTGTGATTATGTAGGGTATGCATTTAAAAGTACCATCCACTCTTTCTGTAGAATTCGATCAAGAACTTGTTTCATCTTTTCATACATATCATCACTGAAGCGTCTTGAAAACATAATAGGTAATTTTCTTTTCAACTTATTCATGCTGAAATTGAGATGGAAAACGTTTATAAATTATTACGTCAATACAAGTTAATACTGATTGATTTAATATTACTAATCTAGTGATCAACGTCGATTTGGGTGATTTTTCTAGTTTAAATCCTGGCATGTGCGACATTAAAACATGATATTTCCTAAATGTTGCTACTGGATAACAATTGATAATATCAAAGAACCCACAAAAGTTATCAACATTGAAAAAATTGTATAGGTAGGAAATTGATAGCACTGATTTATTTAACATTATGCAGTTATGTTTCGTGAAATCGTTCTACATGTCAAGGGTAAAAGGGACGTTAATAAAGATGACGGTCGCCACCAATTTTTTTCTTCATCCAAGATGATCGATAGAAGTAAATTTATTTGCTGCTGCCCTGTTAATTAGAAAATTTAATTGAAATAGTGAGTAATAAATGTCGGCTTTGGTTGTGAAAATAGCGAGTATTTTTTATCCATTCCCAAAGTTGTTGAAAATTCAGATTTTGACAGTTTTTAAACTGAATTTTTATAGTGAAAATGCAGAACTCAAAAAGGCTACCATTGTCGCCTATGTTAATATTTACTTCATTTTAATCTAAGACAGATTTCAATACATGACTGCATCAATCTTTAACTATAATGCTTACAACATTTAGCTTTTTACGTATAAATTCATTTAGATAACTCTATTATTGATAATTGAAAAATGCTGAGCAGGATCTGCTTATCCTATGGGAGCATCTGAGATCAATCCCGGTTTTATTTTTGGATATCTAGTTGCATGAGTTGATAAGTCTTTAGTTTTCTATATTATGTTACATAATACTATACTGTTATTTGTCTTTTTTGTCTTTTTCTCTCTATTTTTATCATGGCATTGTCAGTTTATTTTCGACTTATCAATTTGAGTGTCCCTTGTATATTTCGCCTCTCTTTTGAATTGTGCAAAGCTATGGTAATGTCTAGTGTACACAAAAACTAAGCTTGTACTGAAAGATGTTTCTATACAGCAGCGAATCTACATTAAAGAGTAAAAACAGATTATTTTCCGTTCGAAATTATTTTCAAGTTTAACCTTTGAAATCTGAAATCAAGATGTCATCTGGTTCAGTAAAATTGGTACCGTTAATTATTTTAATAACATTGGGTCAATCCTCTTATGTCAGTCTCCAAGGGTATCAATTGCCCAGTAACCAGAATTTTGGTACAGGTATGGTTTGCGGCACTTTTTGTTTAAGGTTTTGGCCCCAAGCATCACCTTAATGCGCATCTGATGCAGTAAAATTGGTATCGGTCATGGTATTATCAGTTTTTAAAATTTAAGTTTTTGCTATTTTTCAAATCAAGCTCTTTTTTCATCTTATGTAACTAAACAATTATAATAATAATAATAATAATAAATTCTTTTTTCGAAGAGGGTAAACACAGTTAGTTACAACAAACTAATCTTCCCTAAGGCCCTCACATACAAATTACAATATAATCAAAAACAGGTATTTACACATAGTTAATTTACAGTCAAGTAGTTCAATGTATTATTATTGACATGATAAGATATAATACTGTTCAAGAGGTGCATGTAGTAAAAAATCAAAAAATCAAACCAAAATTAACATGAATGAATAATTAAGTTCAACTGAGAAATATCAACCATTTGCGTTTTGGCCTAAATATCTTTCATTTCCGGTAAATTACTTTATTCAAAGCGGTTCTTTTTTAAGAAGATTTCTGCATACATTTGTTTGCATCACGTTTTCTGACCATTTCAAGTAATATTGAATTGGCTATATAAACAGTATGGTACAACTTCGACAATCAAAACAATGTATTCATATACTTACTCTTTCATGCAAAGGGCGACAAGATCAGCTGTTCCGCCGGTGCCTTTCACGACGACAACTGATATATTATTGTCAATAGCTCTTATCACGTGCTCAAGTGTATCTAGTTCACCATTCAATACCAACAAAACAACTGGAATTCTTATTTCTGATATTAGAATATAAAAGTTGTATCATTACGCATTAACAGGAGGCGAAATATAACAAAAGAACATTCAAACTCAGACGTCCAAAATAAATTGACAAGGCCATGGCAAAAAAACAAAAACAACAAAAACGACAGACAACAGTATACAAACCATAACATAGAAAACCTAAAACTGAGCAACACGAACCCCACGAAAAACCAAAGATGATCTCGGGAATTTTGAATTGTAGCAAGTTTTTGACATAAAACTGAAAGGTCTATTACCTTTTTAAACATTACAAACATTAACAAAATAAAAAGAACACCACAAAAACTAAAACAAGTCCAACAAATGTCCTTTCATATAAAATAAGTGGTGATTTCAGCTGACCAGAAGTGAAACAAATCCTGCTCCACGTGTGGCTCTTGTCGTGTTGCTCATGTAAGTAGAAACCCGGTGATAAATCTTATTCGGTAGGTCACAATCGGAGAAAAATACAACGCGAATGTGATTTCGACAAAGGGAAAATATCCGTCGTCATCAGTGAAACAGATATATCACAACTATATCGAAATGGCGTCCGTAAAACTTCATCACTTGGAACTCTTGGTTTCATAGCTTTCTTGTGAACAACCTTCTATCAAGGAAATCATGATAGGAATTCAAGCACTGGAATATCGTATCAACTGTGAATGTACTGGAATATTCCTACGTATAAATAGAAAGTTTACAATTGGGAAGCTGAAGTCCTCTCTTTTATCATGAAGTTTTGTTTTCAACCGACCCTCACTATCGATGTCTACGTGTAAGTGAAGATACAACGAATATTTACCTGTATTTGCAGTATTCTTTATTTCAAGTTCAATTTTATAGATGCGTTCAACACTGTCACGAAACTTTGAATTATTTAATGAGAGGACTTCATCTATATAGCGGAAAGTGAAGTTTAAATATATTGCTAGCCTCTTTTTAATCTTTCTTTGCTGCTTCTGTAGAAGTCAGCCTCAAATAAATAAAGGTACAAGTCGGCAAGAAGAGTCGTACAGTTGGTTTCCTAGGGAATGCCGATTGTTAGTTGAAAAACATTTTTTTAATGTCAGTTTCTGAGATTTTTTGTTTAAATAAACTCATCATTAATCCTAGGCTTAAAACTGTGTACGCAGAACGCTCGTTTTGTCTAAAAAAGACTCATCAGTGACGCTCGAATATAAAAATTGAAGAGTTATATTAAGTAAGGAGTTAAACGGCATCGGGAACCTTAAAGACCGAAAGGATTTGCCAAATACAGCTAAGGTAATCTATTCACAATACATAACCAATTCATTCAAATTTTAGCTGGATAATATAATGCCCCTTCTTTTATACTGTTACACCAGAACCACGGAGTCAAAGACTATCATGCTCATAAGAATTCCCCGCTTTAAGTATGTCGAGGCAATTAAAATGCAGTTCTCATATTCACTTTTATGACAATTAAACAGATTGTGAATTCGCATCAAACCACGTAAATGATGACGGGAAATCCAAAAGAAGTAGGACAAGTTATTTCATATATTAAAAAGTAAAATATTTCAAAATGATCCACTAGAAAAAGATGTACACAATCAAAACTATAATCACTGGAGAAATTGGAATACTCTTAATCATCTTGCAGGTGATCATTAAGTTCAAGAGTGTAAGATTTAACAAAATCTCAATTTTAAAACAACTTTAGTTCATCATATTTATCATTCAGTAAATTACTATCTCTCAGAACCGATTGTTATTTTTTTCGTTGGTGAAGTCTATTTTACGACTTATTCACCGGCAAATTCAGTATTGTTCACACAATTCGCCTGCAGTCAATTAAGATCTGTTCAGTCTCTGTTCAGGCTGTTGAAGACTTACTGAAAGACATAACATGATTTAATAATTTATTGTTCTGATAGTTAAGATCAAAATGACCTTTCAGACTGCAATTCGTTTACTAGTGAATGCGTACATGATGTCGATGATAGGGAATGGTTTAGCGCACGTAAAAAGTTAAACCACAAAAATACTGAACTCCGAGGAAAATTCAAAACGGAAAGTCCCTAATCAAATGGCAAAATCAAAAGCACAAACACATCAAACGAATGGACAACTACTGTCATATTCCTGACTTGGTACAGGCATTTTCTTATGTAGAAAATGGTGGATAAAACCTGGTTTTATAGTGCTTAACCTCTCACTTGTATGACAGTTGCATCAAATTCCATTATATTGACAACGATGTGTGAATAAAACAAACAGACATAATAAGTAAAAATGTCATAATAGGGGTACAGCAGTCAACACCGTGTCACAATCTTAATCACAACAAAAACAAACAAATATTAAACAAAGAAGCACAAAAAAGCATTTATCACATGTAACAATCTCGTTCATTTCTTACTTATTTTTGTATCTTATTTATGTATGCCAAATCAACCCATAAAGGATCAAGGGATTTTAAGCACTGGGACCGAATCGTAATTTTAACATTAACTCTGGCGTAGAATCGCGTGTTTGACGTCAGAATGTAAACGTCACACAGGAAGAGATATAAGATAATTGTGTCGTTCAAAGTAAGCAAAAATTATAATAGAACAATAACACAATGGCGGGATGTTTAAAGTACAGAGACACGTCATATGTATCAAAGAAACATAAAAAAAGTCACACGGACAAAACACACAAGTAAAAATGAAAAATAATACAAACAACACAATGACGGGATGCATAAGTACAGAGCCACGTCAAATGTATATCACCAAACACAGATCAAACAGTAAAAATAATATTAATAAAGACAAATAAAAGAACACTTTAACACGTTATTAAGATGATAAACAGCGTCAGTACGCAGAATCTATACTTCAAGACCATCATGTATTATTTGTGGAGTTGATACGGAATATTTATCAACAAGGTCTTGGTACCTCCCGATGAACTTTTTTAAAAAAAGGACGAGACGTTCTTTGACATACCCCTGGTTCATCAACTTTCTTCTCAGACACTGGTGACGTTTTACAAAGTCTGAGTAGGAGCTGCTTGCTCTTGCATACCGAATAAGTTGGGAAATGTATATCCCATATACAGGTGAAGTTGGTATATTGCTACTAAGGTGGGGGGAATTCATAATTTTAAAATTAAGATAGTTTCGTTTGTCATAGATTCTGGTACTGAGATGACCGTGTATGTCAAATTCGAGGTATAAGTCTAAAAATGAGGCGGAGGAAGCCGTGTCTGTTGTTTCTTTAATTTCTAGTTCTGGGGGATATATTAATGGAACCCAATCAGAAAAGTTCGGATTGTTAATGGAAAGAACATCATCAATATATATGAAAGTGAAATTAAATAATCTGGCTTCTTTGATCTTCTTGTTTTTGAGTGTCTGAAGGAACTCCGATTCATATGAAAATAAGAAGAGGTCGGCAAGGAGAAGCGCACAGTTCGTTCCCGTAGGAATGCCGACAATTTGTTGAAAAAGTCTACCTCCAAATTCAACAGAAACTCCAGCATACTGATCACTTGTTCCTCTGTGTAGCATGTTTTACCCTTTTCTTCGCTATTAACAAAATATGCCTTATGGTATCCCAAAGTAATAAATTTATAGCGTATTCTACCATTTTTATGTTGAAAGGCATTGTGGATTATTTCTTTTAGGCGATTTTTCAATTTCACATGGGGAATGGTGGTATACAGGGTTTAAAAATCAAAAGTTTTGATAGAACTTATTTCAGAAAAAGACCGAGATTTAAAATTATCTAGAAGTTCTTTAGAATGTTTAAGAATCCTCATGTGATTAATACCACTACGCGAGTAAACAGTTTCACGGTATTTCTGAAGACCCTCTTCCACTGCGGACAGTATTTTAGTCAATCTAATGGACAATTCTTTGGTTGAACATGCAGATGAGCCGGCAATGTACCGTTGTTTGTACGGAATTTTGTGAAGTCCTCTGATTTGTTGTTCAATGTAATGTTCATTGAAGCCATGAAGCACTATGATTCGCCAAAATCTCATCCTTGTCAAATGATATGTCTTTGTATGTGGGATTACCTGAGTGCTCATTTATTTCTTATTCTTTTACAAAACATTCGTAGTAATACGCTTTACATACAAAGACAATATTATTTGAAGCTTTGTCCGCAGAAACAACAACATACTCATCATGAAGAGATGATAGACATTTAACAGCCTCTTTGTCTCAGAAAATGGACTTTGGTCGATCATTCACAGTTTTTCAACTTATGAATGCGACGTTTTATCAGAGACCTGATTGTTTTGACCCATTCTGACAAAGTGTCCAGTTCAACTTCTTCTCCTTTAGCCAATGCTCTGGCGTAGTCCTCAATGGAATCCATAATTATTTTTGAAGTTATGGTTCCAATTGATGTGTTGGGGTTCTCTAAACTTAGGATTATGAGAAATCACCTTTCGAAGATTTTCTTGTTGAATTATTTTTAGATCCCCTATAATAACATATATATATATATATATATATAACATAAATATTTTTAAACCCGCCATATTCTGTATGTGAATATCCCAAGTAAGGAGCCTGTAAATTCAGTGTCTTTCGTTGGTTCGTGTCTGTCATATTTGTTTTTTGTCAATTGTTTTGTGGTAAATAAGTCCATTAATTTTATTATTTATTAAATTATTTCACATTTTGTCATGTCGGGACCTTCTATTTCTGAATATAAGTTATGGCGTTTATCCATTGTTGAAGGTCGTTTGTTAATCTACATTTTCTTATTTTCAAAAGTATGTTATAGAAAACTTTAGTTTTGAATGTTCACTTCGTCTCATCCACTCTTTTATAAATATTCAAATTCCAGTAAACCGAAATAATTCTGATTTCGTCCAAGATAGTATAAACTCTCTGGGGACATTACCCCTACTTGTTTAAAGTCAAAAGTCAAATGAAACAATGCATGCAATTTATATAAAGATAAATGCTCCCTATCGAAAAATAAGAATCGTCTGTGTCTTTAGATCTGCATATACTCACTCACATTCGATACCGGGCGATGTAAAACATTTTGCATTTGATGTAAAGTTATATGTAATTTTCCTAAGCGTACACGAATAAATGAATATAAGGAAAATTACAAGCATGAATTTTAAGTGTAAACGTTTTAGAAATTTTCGGGATTCACAGTTGCCAGAATGCGACAAAAGGATAGGATAACATTATATTCATACCACCAGTTACTACGATATTGTTGATTGAACTTGTTGTGTTTAGTGAACTTAAAATGTTCGTAAGAATTTATCAATATACAAACGATATTGTTCATATTGAACTTACAAGCATGAATTTTAAAGGTATTAAAATTTTCAGCATTTCCGGGATTCACAGTAGCAAGAATAATTAAGTATAATCTTAGGTTTTTTCTGAGTTCATAGATATTTATGCTTATCACTTAAGACTTGTTGGCGGGACTTAAACTATTTAAGGCTTTACTAAGAAAATATTAAATATAAGATGTTTTATGCATAGAACTAAGGTGAAATTGACGACGATTCTTTATATATGATGTTTACATAGGAAAATATTAACTAAATCAACTTCATACATACCTACCTAGAAGATTAACACACGTTTGAATGATTTAGTTTACGATAATGGAGTCACACTTATAATAGTATCCTTTTCTTTAAAGTAACGAAGGTGACAGGTGTTCAGAAGGATAATTTCATTAGATAAATCGTTTTGTTATATTACCGTATTTGATTTCAAATAAATATATGCATCTTCAAGATCATGGAAACTTGTGCTTTAAAAAATCTGATGTCAAATTTTAATTAGCAGAACATTTATATTTGATTTATTTTATCCATGATATGTAATTTGATAGAAAAGAAGTATAATTTGTGTTTAAACAAGAATATGCGTATCCTTAAAAAAGGAAAAACTAAATATGTCGTTGTCATTAATGTAAACAACTAAAATCAAAGTAAAGATGGTAACATTCCAATAGTATTTGTAATAATTCTGTACTAAATAGGTTTATTCTAAACTTACATTCCAAATGGATACCTCGCTACGAAAACAATATGAATACCTCTAATAAATTGATATAAATGAATATGAACATACCATTTTTTCCTGAACCAACGTCATCTTCCTTTTCAAAACCTGCTCGTCCCTCTAAATTGATGTAGTTTTCTAGTTTGAGCCGCTAAATTTGAAAATATATTGTAAAGATAAGTTCTACTTTTTTAGCCTAAATATATTTTTTCTCGTGCATGCAAAAACTGGAAATAAACAACAGCAAAAAATTTAGATAGTTATTAAACTTTTGTAATACGTATTATGCAGTAGATTTTATTTGCTTCATCGTGTGAACTATATTTGATGACCTCGACAAAAAGGATAAGCAAAGTACTTTATGTTTAACCAGAAATAAACCAAAAGTTGATGATACATGGACAATGGAAATATTCTGAGATGGTCTCTTTTCCAAATCACTGATGTTTTAGATAGTTAGAAGATGATTCTTTTGATATTCTTATACACATTTTAAGTTACATTCAGTGAAGTATACATAGATTGTGTTAGATAAAAAACAAAACAAAAAATTGGGAAGGGTCTTAAGTTAATCTCATGTTCCTACGGTAGAAAAATCATTCAATTAAACAAATGATATTGTCTTGCAATATTTGCTATATCTGTTCACAATCACTTACTTCCAATAAAACTGTTCTTGGCTCTTTAACCTGGAAATATAATAATACCCCAAATAAATGTGATATGCTATGATGTCATTGACTTTTTTGGTTGGACTCTGATTCAGTATTTGAAACTGTATTGTTATATATATTACCATTTAGCTATATGATGTCTACTATATATTATGGATTTGTTTCATTGGTAAAGCCTATAATGAAATCTACATTTGTAAAATCTTTCTTCGAGGATAATTATCTCTATATAGTTTTATAACAGACTTATCGGTAACTGTGTAGACAAGGATCTGGTTATTGAGGAGTGTTTTTCATACTGTCTTTCCTTTTATATGGTCGAATTCTGGTTCAACATTTGCTGTTGAATTGTTGTGTGATGCCTAATTTTATTGCGGATTTTTCATTGTTAAAACCCGTATCTTAGCTGGTAAAAGAGGATTATTTCATTTTTTGCTACATTCGTTAGTCTCATTGATTAAAGCTTTTCCCAAAAGTACCATAGAGTACTTATATTTGTCTTTCAATGTCTTAAATAAATCGAGCGATATCAAAAAATCATTCAATAAAAAGTAAAGTAACAAAAATAGCGAACTCCGAGGAAAATTCAAAACGGAAAAGTCCCTTTTCAATTGGCAAAACCAAAAGATTAAACACATCAAATGAATGGAAAACAACTGTCATATTCCTGACTTGGTACAGGCATTTCCTTATGTAGAAAATGGTGGATTAAACCTGGTTTTATAGCTAGCTAATCCTCTCACTTGTATCACAATCGCATAAAATTCCATGATATTGACAACAATGTGTGAACAAAACTAACAGACAAAATAGGAAAACATATCAAAAATAGGGGTACAGCAGTCAGCATTGTGTTATAATCTTAATCACTATAAAAGCAAACAAATATGTCATCAAAGAAAAACAAAATGGCATATAGACAAAACACATAAGCAAAATTGAAAGAGAAGAATCCAACAAAATGACAAAAGGACAATAACACAATGGCGGGATGTAAAAGTACCGAACCAGGCAAAAAAGATATCACCAAAAATGGACTTAACAGTAAAGGTTAATAATTTACAAAGACAACTAAAAGAACACTATAACACGTATTTACAATCGCTTACCTCCGCTCATGGCTCTATCGCATGAAAACATAAATAATGCCCAAAATAGATATGTTTTGTTATAATGTTAATGATATTAAATTCAATTATTCGTTTGGTTGGACCTTGTTTCAGTATTGGATACAGTATTGTTAAATTCACATTTAGTAATGGGAGGTCTAGTATATATTGCAGATTGTTCACATTGTTTCGTTGCGTAATGAGACCTGAGTTTGTTAAATCTGTTTAGATGCGGTTCTTTGTGGATAATTATCTCTTTGCCGCCTCTTCGTATATTTTTAAAACACACTTATCGACAATTGTGTAGAATGATGATCTGGTTATAGAGAAGTATTTTTTATACTGCCTTTCCTTTTATATAGTCTAATTCTGGTTCAACATTTGCTGTTGCATTGTTTCATTCACTTTTTGTTGTGTTATACCTCATATCTTTTGTTGGTTTTCACTGTAAAAACCTGTACCTTATCGGCAATTGAGATCAATCTTATCTGTTAATATAGGATATTTTTTAATTTTTCGATAGCGTCTTTACTTTCAAATAACAGTGCTTTTCCAACAGAATCATTTGCCAGAATAGTCTAATTTGAGCACCCTTTATAGTAAAGTAATCAGTAAAAACACTTTTAACTAAATTTGTGTACTGGCATAGAGGTAGATTTAAATTAGACAGTGTATAAATATCTGTCACAAATTTTGAAAGATGTATTATTTATTCGTTATGTCATCTGGCGTTGTCTCCTTTTACGTGACGTCACAATAGGACAACCAAAGACGGGAAAGACAGTTGACGTCGTAATTGATTTTTGATCAATGACGATCTTAGATCATAACGAACGACACGTAAAATATCCAATTATTATGCGAGAAAGAATAAGAAAAATGTATACCTTATACAGAGGACTATGAGTTCCATTTATATTTTTATATTAAAGTTTGCATTAATACATAATAACACAAAACCTGTTTATGTAAATCATTGGGTAAATAGGGTCTTCTCTCTTGTTTTTGTTCTGTACGGTGGATTTTTCGTTTTCCATTGTTACCTGTTTGTGCTGTTTTATCTTTTATGATTTCAGGAAGAACGGTACGAAGTTTGATTAAAAAATATATGTAAAATAAGAACTCTAGAAAATGATAAGAGACCAATTAGCCTTACAACAATTGATTAGAACTAATGAAAAGAGGCATTCTAGCTGACTATTGCAGCACCACTAAATATTCGGTGTATAGTAATCGCTAAGTATAAATAACCAAAAAACGACTGTTCAATTATAACAATCCACTTGTCGAGCAACAACTGTTACAGCATTGTTTTAAACTATTTTTGTAGCGTATTTTGTTTGGTATCGAAAACTTACTGTTGCATTTTTGTCATCATTACTTGTATTAGTCGTCTGAAATCAGAAATAAAACTTAATAGGTGATATTTGTCTTCAGTGAGTATTGGTATTGGAACATGATCACAACATGCACAATAAAATTATGGTGTTAGGCATAAAGTTTTTAATTTCTATTTAAGACAATGTCTTTAATTATCAGACTTCGATTTCAGATTTGTTCAGTCACCGCTCATACATTATCCAAGATATTTTGTCAAACGCAGATAAATAAGAAACACACGCCTTCTTTCAATTGCTTAATACCAGAACAGGTTACAAATTTAATAAAGTTTCTGTTCGGCAATGTCTTAAAATTGACCAGTAGATTGACAGAATTTTTCCATCGTCAAACTCATGGAGAAATCTAAAATTAGATTAACAAAGTCATTATATTGTATACAATTTTGTATTCTTACTGATGTGTTTGATGCGAATCCATATACTATAGATTTTAAACCTTGGACATCTCGTTTGTTCCTGACGATGTTCTGCACAAAATTCATATCCTCTTCATTAAAGATTAAGCCACATTCTGTAATAGATAAAATTGAAATCTACATTATAATGTTTTACTCCATTAGATGCATCGAAAGTATCTCAGTTACTATCATGTAATGTAGCGTAGGTCATGCAATCTAATTTATAGTTCATCTCATGCATTCTTCTTATTTTAAAATCAGTACTGTCAATCATTAAAAGAAATTGTCGCGCAAATATTTTGAACTTTTCGCTAATTTAATTTGGCTTGCTAAATAAAAAAAAAACAGTTAATGAATAATAATAAGAACAGATTAAAATATTCTTCACTGTATTTTCAATCAGTATGAATTTTAACATCTCAAATATTTCTGCATGTGTATGTTTTAGTAACTAAACTCAATCATAAAACAAAAACAGTAAGAGAAAAGGCGACAAAAATCAGCACAAAGAACATTACAAATAACGCTAAGAATAAGTAACACAAAATATCAAATGTTCTTCTTTAAGCAAACATGGCTTCACTAATAGCAAGTAAAAAATTCTGTGATTAGTTGCATTCATTAATGTCACAATAGTAAAAACGTAGATAGGACAGTAGCTTTGATAATAGTACTTGTCTAGGCCATCTGCAACATCAATATTTTATAATGATCATCAAAATTGTGATGGCGTCCGAATAAATATCTCATCTTTTGAAACCCTGAAACTGTCATTATCAAGATGCTTGATTTCTTGATTGCTACTTTTGAAGGACTTTTTTTCAACAAACAATTGGTTTTCCAATGGGAACCAACTGTATTCTTCTTCTTGCCAACTGTTATTCATATGAGGAGGCCTTCATACCAGAAATTATTTGAAAGAGAGAAACGAAGTAAGCAGTATCCCTTAACTTCACTTTCCGCTGTATAGATGATGTTCTCATACTAAATAATTCAACGCATCTATCCCATCGAGCTTGAAATAAAGGATCCAAAAGAAACAGTTTAGTCTGCCTCATATCTTGACTAACATCTAAATATTGACTTTGAGGGTCGGTTGAAAACAAAACTTAACGACAAAAGAGATGATTTCAGCTCCCAAATTGAGAACCCCCATTTCTATGTAGCAACATGTCAGCAGCGACAGCATGCGGATTATAAATCTCCAAGTTGATACAACATTCTAGGGCTTGTATTTCCTATCATGATTTCCATAATGGAGGGTTGCTGCTCACAAGGAATCTATCAAACCAAGAGTTCCATGTGGAGAAGTTGAAACCATCCTTTCGTACATTTTAAGGTCACCATCACGACTTGGTTTACCGTTATGGAATATTTGTTCCACAGATGACGACGAATATGATAGAATTCTTAGTTTTTAATTCACTAAAGATAAAGAATTAATGGTAGTCAATATAATTATCAGGAATACTATTTATACTATTGAAACTATTGATTTACAGGACCATTTTTTACTTATTGTTATTATAAATAGCATATATCATATTCTTTTTTTATAAAATTTAATCACTTGAACATTAATATAATGGTTAACCTAATGTTTCAATTCTCAAGCAAATTTTACCGTTGATGAATTTGGCAATTGCTATTATGCCACTTTTTGTCATTTTTGCTCAAATCATGTCTACGTTTTTATGTATCCCTTTCTTTTAAATGATTAGGTTTATGTGTGTCTATTGAATATAAATTCAGAAAAGCGCGTCGGACGCACGAAATGTTTTCAATTCAGTTGAATCGATACCATAGCTGGGATACCATTGACGGTGGACTGTACGTCTCCGATGTTCCAATCATTCCAGTAGTCAGCGCTCCGGTATTGACATGTTTTTAACATATGTGTTTCTTAAATTGTCTCTTAATAGGACACGAAATTACAAAGAAATTACGGATTTTGAGCTATTTGTAGGAAACTTTAAAGAAATATATAATAGTCTCCTATACCAATATGGCAATATGAGTAATATTTCTCTTAGCATATGAGTCAGTGTTTTCAATATAACCTTCTAGGGGAACATTATATAATTAAACATATGTTTCTGTTTACCTTCTTGTTAGAAATGAAAAGTAAACAGTATAACCAATGTCTCATGTGAAACGATATTGAACATTTCAATAGTCATGACAAAATAAAAAATAAAAAATACATTTACTTCCTGCATATCTTGCAACGTGGTTAAGTGATTTTCTTAACAACATCTGGTGTTTCCATTTGTATGATGGAATTCGTTCATTGTAAGCGCCTATCACTGATATTACAATTCGTGGTTTTCCACATTTTTCTATGTCTTCCCATTTTTGTTTTGCATCTTTGTCAGACGCTTGTGGCGGCGGAGGAGAAGGTTCCGGTGGAGGTGGCAATGGTTCCGGTATTTTAGGTTGCTGAAGTAAAAAAGCTTGCTGTAAAGCTGTTCATATTAAGCATAATGGCAACATGTTGACAATAAGCTCAATTCGACAATATCGTCCCATTATGTTATTGCAACAAACTCCTCAAATAGGTATAATGTCTGTGCAAATTTTTTATATGCACCTCCAAAAATATCTTTTCTTCAAAGTTCAAAGGTCATTTTGTAATTCATAGAATAATCATCACATTGATGAGGGGTTCTAAAATGTCATAAAAGTGCGAAAACGATTAAATTTTCAACAGCAATTGTAACATTTAATTTTTATAAACGAAACACAGTAATTCTTATTGTGTTCCATCTTGATCGTCTTTTGAATGCAAAATCAATAAATCAAATTTTTGAATCTTCAAATCAAAATAGAACTATGTTTATCTAATGACTTACAATTGAAATTTGACGGCCTGCAATACATGCGTCTTGTTCAAATATTTTCAAGTTGATTGATACATCAAATCGAAAAGAGTCTCTAACTTAGCTTTCAGTATGAAATTTAATTATCATTTTCCCAACAGGAAATATAATCTTGAAAATGTAAAGGTCAGATTAACCTTCAAATAATTATTGTCTGATTTTGCCTAAAAGATAAAAACAGATTATGAATGGTAACAGGTACTTGAAACTTACTTCAGGAATAATGTCTATATTTGCCAATTTCTGAAAATATAAAAATGAATGTATTAAAAATTCAGACTTTATGCCAAAATGTAACTATGGCAAATAATGCTAATATATGCATGAATTAATTATATTTAATATATAGGGCGGATCAACAAACCCATGAAATGTTTTACTATATTCGCTCTTTTTTATCTAATGTAAATCTGGCGGGATGGTGTATATTACTGGGCCAGCATGCAAATGCGTTTTATGTACCTACAGGGATACACACTGAAAATGTTTTGAAATAATTTAAAAAATTGTTCAGAAAAAAAGTTTAGTACGTATATAATAATGAGTTTTCTTCAGAAATAATCTTCTAAAAGTCTCAAAATGTGTGACCATAAACAGTGAGGAGAAGTATTTGAGATAACAGAGCACTTGTTCTTATTGATGGATATTGATTATTTGTTGGTACCTTCCATTCGATATTACTATAAAGAATTAGGCATGAACAATCTTAAACAAGATAATTCGTCGCTTTATTTTCTTCGCTTCGAGGACGTTACTCCGTGTCATAATTGTCATCCATTCGTATGTGGAGTTTTACACGGTGTGCATATAGAGACAATAGCCTTATAATGTTCGATTGATTTTTGATTTTTGGTGTTTTAACGCCACTTTTAAGCACCGCTTTTGGGCTATTTCGTGGCGGCCAGTTTTTATTGGTGGAGGAAGCCAGAGTGCCCGGAGAAAACCACCTATAATGTTCGAAGAGTGTTGCATAAGATAAAACAATATAAAGTATCTAGTAGTATTACAGTATGAAATATTTACATATACCTGCAGTATATATTCAAATCATTTCAATACTGACCTGTTATGGTTTGAAAGACGAATAATCTGATTCCGTCTTTATAGCCGACTATACGGTATGAGCGTTTCTCATTGTTGAATGCCGTACAGTTACCTATAATTGTTTACATACACTTTTTTTGAACTTAGATGGATAATTGTCTTATTGGCAACCATACCACATCTCCTCATTTTTATAATGCTTCCAAATTATATACAAACAGCCCCTCTGTATTAATATATTATACATATGGATTAATTGGTTCATATATGAAAAATATATTATTATCCTATAATGCACATGTATAATGTTTATATGATTAGTATATCTACAAACGCTTACATTTGATTAGTCCAGTATTAATTTTTCAACTTGCTTAACACGGCTCAAGACTATTTTGCAGATATTTCTTTCGTAAATTATGTTAACACTATGTCTATTTCACTGTGATATAGTCATACGGAAAACACGTGAATGGAATCCTGGGGTTTCAAGAAAGTTAAATTTAAAAGAAAAATGAAAAATGTTTCGATTGAGTTTTAATGATTTGAACACAATATTCTAGAGGTTATTAATGTGTAAACTGAGCCTAGGAATCACAGACGTTCAGGCTTCCAAGCTTCATGCAAGATGTAATTATCACTTGCTTTCATAAGACAAACAAAACTAACAAAAACATCCATTAGTTCCTCCTTCACCAGTGTCACCGTCGTGTTCATATTTTCTTGCTTATAAAGTATAATAAGTGCATATATTTAGAATATTTAGATAGCCAATGAACTTATCATATGTATTTTTAACAACAGAAAAATAGTTCTACCTTTATAGACAATAATGGCAGTCGTCCCTGAAATGGAAAGAAATGTACGTTTTATATGAATTATCACAATAGTAAAAAGTAAAATAAAAAAAAAAAAACCGAACTCCTAGAAAAATTCAAAACGGACAGTTCCTTAACAAATGGCAAAATCAAAAGCTCATACACATCAAACGATTGGAAAACAACTGTCACATTCCTGACTTGGTACAGGCATTGCCTTATGTACACAATTGTTGATTAAACCTTTTATAGATAGCCAGACCTTAACTTGTATGGTAGTCGCATAAAATTTCAGTATATTGACAATAATGTGTGAGCAAAACAAACAGACATAATAGGTAAAAATGTCAAAAATTTGGGTACAGCAGTCAACATCATGTTATAATCTTAATCGCTATAAAAACAAACAAATATGTCAACAAATAAAAACAAAATGACATGTAGACACTCCATAGACAAAGCAATAATCAAAAGTGGAAGACAAGAATACAAAAAATGACCATAGCACAATAACATAATGGCGGGATGTGTAAATACTGAGTCACGCCAAAAGGATATTACCGAAAACAGACTAAACAGTAAAGGTTAAAAATATACAAAGATAAATTAAAAGAACACTATAACACGTAATTAAGATGATAAACAACGTCAGTACATATAAACTATACTTCAAGATCATCATGTATTATTTGTGAATTGATACGGAATATTTTTCAACAATGTCTTGATATTTTCTGATGAACTTTTCAAGATAAGGACGAGACGTTCTTTGACATGACCCTGGTTCATCAACTTTCTGCTGATACACTGGTGACGTTTTATAAAGTCTGAGTGGCAGCCACAATCTCTTGAATACCGAATGAGTTAGGAAATGTATAACCCATATGTAGGTGAAGTTGGTATATTGCTGCTAAGGTGGCGGAAATTTGTAATTTCAAAATTAAAATCGTCTTGTTTGTCATAGATTCTGGTACTGAGATGACCGTTAATTTCAAATTCGAGGTATAAGACTAAAAATGAGGCGGCGGAAGCCGTGTCTGTTGTTTCTAATTTCTAGTTCTGGAGGATAAATTAATGGAACCAAATCAGAAAAGTTTGGATTGTTAATGGAAAGAACATCATCAATATATCTGAATGTGAAATTAAATGATCTGGCTTCTTGTTTTTGACCAGTGTCTGAAAGAACTCCAACTCATAAGAAAATAATAAGAGGTCGTCAAGGAAAGGCGCATAGTGATATCAAATTTCATCGGAGATGGTAGAAACTTTAGTCAAACTTTTCAACTGTTTCGGTACTTATACATCCATGGTTTTCAAATAAGATTGTAGATGAACGTTCCTGATGAAAGATAAGTCAGTAAAGTACTTTGGACGCATTCAATTTATAGTGTTATTTTCATTTTGTTTACGAATAAAAACACACATGAATTGTGTTTGTTTGCGATAATCACGAAACGACAGTTGCGATTTTACATGTGAGTTTTGAGAACTAGCAAAGGAAACAATTTAAGAATGCATTAATACAAAAAACGGTTTCAAATCAAAATAGTGTAGTGCAATACACGTTCCATTGAAATTATATAGACTATATACCTTTGGTGTATCACGATGAACCTTGACTTTCTTGGATTTCTTTTTTGTTTTTGGTCTAAACGGTGATGGCTTAAAATATATCAAATGTTTTACATGATTTGGTTAACAAACAAAATCTCATAAGATCGTTTTATGATATTTAATTATGTACGACAGTATGATTGCTATAACTGTAAACTGAATACAATGAACTTTATTTCGGTCACTGCAAAAATTCATTCTAAATTAGAAGTCCGTCACATATCAATGTGACTATCCTTCTTCATGAAGGTACACAGAGTGTTCTTGCTATAAGATTAAGATTTAAACATCCAAAGGAAACAATGATTATTTGCGGTTTTGCTGTCTGTTTAGACCTTTCGAATTTTGATACTCTCAACAGTTGTATGTGTTTAACCTCCATTAGTGTTGGTCTACAGCGTTCATGATGAGGCGTCTTAAGGAAAAATTGTTGTGTGCTCTTAATAATGTATAATAAAAATAGATGATATGACCTTCATTAACCATTTCTTGGTTCATTGTGTTCTGTATTTTTATTCCAGATATCTCATTTCTACGTGTACTGATTTTTCTTCTCCTTTTGCTGGTATTGGAGCTTCCTTTTTTGTGTTTTTATTAAAAAGAGTTAATCGTATTCATTATTTTGCCAATTTTTCTCTTTAAACATTATTAAACAACAAACAACTTACGAACACTTCTGCATTGTACACTTTACTTGCATCGTATTCTAGATTATTAGGAAAATATTTCGAAAACTTCAAAGACTGCAAATGCTGAAAAGAAAATGATCATGTTAACAGCTTTTATACTATATAAACCCTTTTGTTCAGTTTCCGATAATGTCATTCCTATTCACAAATCTCTTATTTAGTACAAAATGATGTGTGCAATGCTCAATTGTAACACTACAAGAATAACAGTCACTATGACTGTTTTCACATTAAAGAATGGATTCATGATATATCTAATGTATATCACTCATCCCCACTTTTTGATGGATTTCGTGTTGCTCAGTCTCTAGTTTTCTATGTTGTGTTTTGTTTACTTTTATTTGTCTTTTGATAGTTTTTCTTTTCTTGTCATGGCATTGTCACTTTGTTTTCTACTAATTAGTTTAATTATCTCTCTCTCTCTCTCTCTCTCTCTCTCTCTCTCTCTCTCTCTCTCTCAAAACATCATTCCTTCAGTTATTTATTAAAATTCTTTTATAAACAATTATCAAAGTGACAACATTCAAACTCATAAGTCGAAAATAAAGTGACAACACCATGGCTAAAAAGGAAAAGACCAACAGACAAACGACACTACACAAAAAACAACATAGAAAACTAAAGACTGAGCAACAAGAACCCCACCAAAAACTGGGGGTGATCTCATGTGCTCTGGAACGGTAAACAGATCCTGCTCAACATGTGGCACCCGTCGAGTTGATTATGTAAGTACAAAGCCGGTGATAAGACTAATTCGGTATTTTACATTGTGGGAAAAAGGGGGATGGGAGTGTTATTACGACAATAGGAACATATCTGTTGTCATCTGTGAAACAGATATTCCATAACAGTCAACCAACTCGTGATGGCGTCCGAAAAATTCACGAAGGGATGACATTCCTAAGAAATTTCGAAGAAAATATTTACACACATACATGGGTCAAAGAGATACCAAAGGGACATTCAAACTCATAAGTCGAAAATAGACTGACAACGCCATGGCTAAAATGAAAAAGGCCAACAGACAAACAGACAAAAAACAGTACACAAAACACAACATTGAAACTAAAGACTGAGCAATACGAATCCCACCAAAAACTGGGGGTGATCTCAGGTGCTCTGGAAGGATGAGCAGATCTTGCTTCATAAGTGGCTACCGTAGTAAAGATCTAGCTGCATGATATATTCCTGTTATATATTCCTGTTTGCCAAAGTTAACACCGTCCCGCCCGAGATAACATTAGCAGAGGACTTTTCGGACGTCAAATATTCCGGTAGTCATAAAAAAAAATTCTGCTTTTCAAGAAAATGCTACTTTGGTGCATTACGAATTTTACTCGTAATAGTTTGTGAAAAGACCAAATTGGTTAGATTATAACCGTGTAATCTTACATTTGCCCCTATTGATTTGCAAATACAATGTAGATCTAATGACTACCTTAATCTTATTTCTCGAAATTTGCGAACAAAATCGAAACCCTTGAAAAAAGTTAATGCGCTCTAAGTACATGTAAAACAAGACAATGAAAAAAATCATTATAATTTACATTTCGCGTTTTTATAATGTAAAAAAGCACAATAAATTAAAGAAATTTGATAATAATCACTATAAATTTACTCCATAAAGATAAAAGGGGAATGTAATGTAACCCGAACTCTTTGGTTGGGATGAAATAAGAGTATCAACATACCTTTAATGAAGACATCTTCGTCAGGTCTTCCAAACACCAACCGAATTTTCCTTTGATACGAAAAAAGGGATTTACAAATTTAAGGAAAAACTTAATATACGAAGAAATACCTGTTGTTGTTAATACATGGATCGTTATAAATTTCTGCCAAGTAGTCTAATTAATTGAAGAACAACAATATAATTATAGCTTCATAAAAACTCCATTAGTTAGAAAGAAGGATTGTAAAGACAATTCTTTCGCTTTACTTTAATTATTATCATAATGATTGTTATTATACTTCAATTTATTTTTATTAACATTACTTTTGTTGTTGTTGGTGGTGGTGGTTATTATGGTATGTTTCTTCTACGGTCAGAAAATACAAAGAGATAACGGATGTGTGGTTGTGTTCATGATATACATCGAAACATACTTGAGTCACCCATGTTAATTTTGATGTGTCACTATCTTTTTTTGAGTTTTTTTTATCAAGACCTGTCTCTGTGTGAAAACATGAAATATATTTTCACCGCCATTATATGTTATCCATTTTCTTAAATTTTCAGCACTTGTTCTATAGAATATGGATTCCATAGAAAAGGTTGTTTAGCAAACGGATGTCAAGTTGGTTCAATATTCAACATTCAACATTCAACATTCAACATTCAATTTTTTTTTTTTGGGGGGGGGGGGGGTTCATTCATTTTCAACATTCAACATTCGATTTCAACATTCAACATTCAAAATCTTTTTTTTTGTTAAACTTTTTTTTCAATATTTTTTCATTTTTTTTTTTTTTTTCAACTTTCGTTTTTCAACATTCAACATTCGTTTTCAACAATCAACATTCGTTTTCAACATTCAACATTCGTTTTCAACATTCAACATTCGTTTTCAACATTCGATTTTCAACTTTCAACATTCATTTTCAACATTCAACATTCGTTTTCAACATTCAACATTCGTTTTCAACATTCGATTTTCAATATTCAACATTCGTTTTCAACATTCAACATTCGTTTTCAACATTCGATATTCAAAATTCAACATTAGTTTTCAACATTCAACATTCGTTTTCAACATTCAACATTCGTTTTTAACATTCAACATTCGTTTTCAACATTCAACATTCATTTTCAACATTCGATTTTCAACTTTCAACATTCGTTTTCAACATTCAACATTCGTTTTCAACATTCGACATCGTTTTCAACATTCGATTTTCAATATTCAACATTCAACATTCGTTTTCAACATTCGATATTCAATATTCAACATTCGTTTTCAACATTCAACATTCGTTTTCAACATTCAACATTCGTTTTCAATATTCAACATTCGTTTTCAACATTCATCATTCATTTTCAACATTCGATTTTCAACTTTCAACATTCGTTTTCAACATTCAACATTCGTTTTCAACATTCAAGATTCGTTTTCAACATTCGATTTTCAATATTCAACATTCGTTTTCAACATTCAACATTCGTTTTCAACATTCGATTTTCAACTTTCCACATTCGTTTTCAACATTCAACATTCGTTTTCAACATTCAACATTCGTTTTCAACATTCGATTTTCAATATTCAACATTCGGTTTCAACATTCAACGTTCGTTTTCAACATTCAACATTCGTTTTCAACATTCAACATTCGTTTTCAACATTTGATTTTCAACTTTCAACTTTGAAAACGAATGTTGAATGTTGAAAACGAATGTTGAATGTTGAAAACGAATGTTAAAAGTTGAAAATCGAATGTTGAAAACGAATGTTGAATGTTGAAAACGATTGTTGAATGTTGAAAACGAATGTTGAATGTTGAAAACGATTGTTGAATGTTGAAAACGAATGTTGAATGTTGAAAACGAATGTTGAATGTTGAAAACGAATGTTGAATATTGAAAATCGAATGTTGAATATTGAAAATCGAATGTTGAAAACGAATGTTGAATGTTGAAAACGAATGTTGAAAGTTGAAAATCGAATGTTGAAAACGAATGTTGAATGTTGAATGTTGAATGTTGAAAACGAATGTTGAATGTTAAAAACGAATGTTGAATGTTGAAAACGAATGTTGAATTTTGAATGTTGAAATCGAATGTTGAATATTGAAAATGAATGAAACACCCCCCCCCCAAAAAAAAAAAAAAAAAAAAAAAAAAAAAAATTTGAATGTTGAATGTTGAATGTTGAATATTGAACCAACTTGACATCCGTGTTTAGCAATCTAATAGAAAGAAAGTTGTAATACTATTAAACTAAGAAAAAGAAAAATCTCTTACCTTCTCTTTATATTACTGCATCTTACATATTCGTTTGACTTTGATTTAGTTTGGACTTACATACAAACATAACAATCTTTTTCAATAAAATCTGGGTTTCCCAAAAAAAAAAAGAACAAACAAAGAATGCATGGATTCATGCTTTGTTAAATAGGAAATATAACTGCCCTGTCAGCTTATTCGATGTAAATGCTCATTTACAGAAAACGTATGTTCATATCAACAGCGCAATATTAGTTATTGTGCAACCATTTAACAACAATTTGAACCAAGGGCATATGATGTACTGGATTTAAACTTCAACTTAAACAGTTGTAATCTTTGATATCTTATCTGTCCCTTAGTAACATTTGCTTTGTTGCATTTTTGTTTGTTAAATCTAACATATTTAAATGGACGCAAACAAAATACTTGTTATATTATCTTGTCATTAAATAGATTTATTTGGACGGGTCAACAGTAGACTTATGGCATTGAAAAATTTAAATATTTATTAATAACTCTGAATTTATTTACATAGGAAAACTATCAAAATTTGTTTCACAAATCAAGATGTTTCTTTCTTAGTTATAATATGTATCAACTCATACGATCAAAATTTAATTAATACTACTAAGGAAAGTAAACAGAAAAACGAAGAAATTGAGAAATTGAATTGAAAAGCTAATACGAATTTTTTTTGTTTAACTGATTATAATCAGATGTTCTTCCCAAAAGAAATCATTAGATCTGTTCTAAAACGTGCAATCAAATAGGTCACTCTCGTCATTCCCATAGTATAAGATTATTTTAAATTCCCTACTTTTTACATTAGTCTTCTTCATTCTAAACCTATACAGATTTAAAAAAAAAATGGTAAAACTTAATTTCAAAAGACAAAATGGCCAACGCTTATAAAAAGGAAGTACATGTACTACTTTCACACTTTGTTTTAAAAGAAAATCTAATACAAACAATAAAATCACTGAAACGGACAGCAGCAACTTGCTGGAATTTTTTATTGACAACATATTTGTTACGTGAGGTCGTCATAGTTTTATTTTCAACACAAATAAGATACTCCTACATGAAACAGCTGCAATCTACTGAAGCTGCCATTATTCTTTAGTTTAAGATTTCTTTTCATTTAAAAAATTTAAAATTTGATGACTATATATAACTGTATCTATATCAATGCACTTGAAATAAAAGACATCGAAGATGCAGATCATTCTGCCTGATATCTTGTTCAGTCGTGTGTATCCTGTGTAATTTTTTGTGTTATTGACTTTTTTAGTTTTGGATATTCTGTGTGTGTTTTGTTTTATTTATTTTTTTTAACTGGATTCCGATTCCTTCTTAGTATTTTCTCTTGTTTTACCAGTGATATACAATTATGTATACAGAACGGTCAGATTATTTTTGTCCAGCCAGATTTTTGTAAAATTCTACTTTTAAATGTACTATTTGTGGAGAAACCAGTCCACCTAGTAGTTTGAAAATATACAACATGATACACTATTTGCTTTAATTGTAAATATGTTGATACATATGACAGTGACGTGCTTGTGAAAAAAGCGAGAAACCAAAACTGTTTAATCATTTAAATTGTGTATAACATATTGCACACAAAACCCCATAATCAAACCAGTTTGGTTCCGGCTGCTTTGAATACTTGTATCACATTGTTTCGTTAGGTGTATTTTTTATGGATGCAGATGTAATGAGATTATTCCTTAGGATTTTACAGGTTGTTTGAATGTCGGTACTATCTCTTATTAGGAGATGGTTGAGTTTCCGTAAAAAATATAAGTGCTAAATTTAGAGGATCATATCTAAACTGCAAAATACACTAAATGTTTGTGTGCACGTTTGACAGTATGTTTACATGTATTAACACAATTGTCCAGCACATTAGGATAGTTTTTGTAAGTTTAGTTTTGTGTTTCCCGTTATCGTCTGTAATTTTTTTACATAACACTATGTCTGTGTTTATCTATGAAGCGTGATCAACATCGATCAAAGAACACATTTGCTCAAACAGGAGCTGCAAATGTAGACACTCCACTAACATACTGTTAAATGCGTGTTTCATAAATCCAGAATACACAATATTTAGAAGTATACTTATATTTGATTAATGTCTATTAGATTTGTAAACGTTGATCATGTCACCTATCGTTTTCGGTATCCTTGTAATGTGTATTAAATATCAAAGTTGAATCGATCATAACGATTTTTTATGACCTGTATGTAACGTACCAAGGTTAACAGATCAGCATTTACGCGTTAATGAAAGTCAGATTCATTTACAGATAAAACAAAATGTGGAATAAATAAGGAGATCTGTGACGAGTTATGACCTGTCTTCTGATATCAGATGCTGTGTATACTATTAGATTTTGTTTCTCATTTTTATACTAGTCAATGTATAGTGATTTGGATATGATATACAAGAAAACTCCCAACGGATTTATATTCAACATATACTCATTACATATTAAGCGATTAAGGGTTTTTACTTAAACTAAATCTACATCCTGACAAATATATATGAGACTTCCTTTGCTTGCAACCCAAATGACATTTGCTGCTTCCCGCCACTTTGTCAATAGCATTCAGGAGTAAGAAATAAAATTTGTCAGCCCGTTGTCGGAATAACTTGTCCTGTAGAGTAACGTGTCTTCTTGTAAAATATGAAAACAACACTATATTAATTGTATGCTTCCGAAGCACTTCTCGTGATTTACCTTCATCCGGAACGCTCATGTCCGTATAGTTGAAAGCCAATGATTTATAAGAACCGAAACAGTTGAAGACCTATATCACCAACAAGGACCTAAATAATAACCGAATCTGTAAATTGTTTACTTGATCAGCTACTTCACGGACAATCGTATAGAGTTATGCATTATTTATGTTCACAGAGAATTTTTATCATGCGCTCTGTGCGAGGTTAATTATACTTTTTAAGAATTTGAAACATTGAAAATGCATTTTCATGCGTTGGCTGTATCTATTTCTGCTTCCAATCGGTTAAAATGTTGTAATCTGAATTGTTATCATTTTCATTACAGTCTTTGATAAAAGAATGGTACCACAATGATATATTTTGTTAAATAGTCATAAATTGATTTTTTTGTGTGTTTATTTCTTTTATGAGAGCAGTTTCACTGAAAGATTCAAGTTTTTTTCAAGCAACAGTGTCAATATATCATGGATACAAATTACATTGTACGTTTCATACTTTTTCATATTGTATTATTTGGTAAAAATGTCGAAACACTGAGCATTAAAATCTAGGAAAATATCGTAATAGAATATAAATGAATTTTGCCGATTACAGAGCTTACGGTGCTCCTGCTGCAAACGGAAAATTGAGAAGAGAAATCCACAAACGACTTGGAGCATCCAATCAAAATTTTAAAGAACTGAAGAAAAATTCTAAGGTTCCATTCCAGCTTCGGTACACTTACAAGTGTAATATGTAAATTTTGATTCAAAATGCATCATTGAAATCAATTGTATACTTTCCAAACCTTTTCCCATCAAATTCGCTTATGTCTATACGAAAATGAAAGTGAAAAATGTATTGTATATTTAGTTTTAAAAAGTAAATGCCAATGGTAAAAGACATTTTTATCTTACATTGATTCAAACAATATCTTGTAGTACTTTTTGCGTGTACCCCAATAGGGGCGTTGACCTTGGTCTTCTTCCGTCAAGCAGTAAACTAAATCAAAGTAAATTATGTTCTTCCAATGTTTTAAATCTCGTAAATCAAGGTTATTATACTGAACAACCATAATACTGCACTACCATTGTATTATACATTTATTAACTAAAAATATTATCTACTTTAATGTATATTTCAACACAACAGTGCAAAAACAAACACAAAATACAATTTTAATTTAGTAATTTCTTAATAGTTTCTGTTTTGTCATTTGCCTGGGAAACCCCAGCAGCAACGGCACCAAGGGCGGCGACAATTTTTATAATTACAGCATGTTTTTCTATTTGTCCACAATCCTCCTGAAAATAAATGTCAATGTTCTAAGTCTAAATAAAGTTAGTAAAACACAAATACAGTTTTTTTTTTTATAATGTTTGAATAAATTGTTTTCATTTTGTATTTCTAAGTACGGATAAAAGAGTCAATTGGTTTGAACGTAATCTCGCGCATTTGTGATTTTTTTCTTCAATAAATTGTTTAAACTCTGACAACAAAGCAAGTATTGTTATAAACTGTTTTATATCTAATCGGAAAATCATGATCAGCTTCATTAAAGCCTTTGCGGCGACTTCTATCTTATACTCAGAGTATTCATTTTTACTAAACTAACTAGTATTCTCTCAAGGACGAACGACTGAAAATATCACTTCATAGAACGATTATCATGATGATTTTCTCTTTCATAGATCATACATATCAACTATGTGAATTTGACATTCTACAGGTATTGCCATGTTGATATATTTTGCACTTATCAATATCAATGTATTATAGAAGTTAGGATTGATTATCAGATTTTCATCATATTGATATAGAGGAATATTAAACTCTTGACTTAATATAATTAGTTACACGGTGAGCTTGTGATCTATATATATATATATAATTCGTCTCAAATTTAGCCCAACAATGTCAGATTTTCAAATCTGCGTTTGGAAATTTTTGTTCTTCTCTCAGCGGGATTCGAACCCTTGCGTCTGTGACATCGTGGCAACACCGCCTGCATCGTGTCCAGCGCCCTAGACCACTCGACCACCTAGGCTACATAAAAATATAGCTTTCGGTGGTCGATGTAATGCCTTTCCTCGTCGGCTTTATCTAGGGCTGTAACACAGTTCATGATGTATGTATAGTGGCAAGTACATGGTGTACCTTTCAGATCATCTATTTTGTCTGTCGTAAAGAATGATAATGTTAATTACCATGCCGCCCCCTTTTTTTTTTATACACGTCTCAACATTTGACAACTTTATGACAAACATTATCCATCGGATACCTCGTGTTACCCCCCCCCCCCCCCCCCCCCCCCCCCCACCACCAAGCACCAAAAAAACAAAACAGAAAATATACAACAATTAAAAATATGAATATAATAATTCAACGTCGTATGCAATAAGAAAGAGTACTCAGACAAACGTAATACAACATGTATAAATATTGTCAATCTCAATGAAATAAAGAACAAAATATATAAATATGAAAAAAG